TCTGGAGCCTAGCTTGTAGGATTTTGAGCATAACTTTGCTAGCATGTGAAATGAGTGCAATGCTGCGGTAGTTTGAACATTCTTTGGCATTGCCATTCTTTGGGATCGGAAGGTCAACTGACCTTTTCCAATCCTGTGGCCACTGTTGAGTTTTCCAAATTTGCTGGCATATTGAGTGTAGCACTTTTACTGCATCGTCTTTTAGGATTTTGAATAGCTCAGCTGGAATACTGTCTCCTCCACTTGCTTTGTTGTTGCTCAGACTTCCTAAGGCCCATTTGACTTCACATTCCAGGATGTCTGGCTCGAGGTCAGTGACCACTCCATCGTGGTTATCAGGGACGTTAAGCTCTTTCTTGTATAGTTCCTCTGCGTAATCTTGCCACCTCTTCTTAATCTCTTCTGCCTCTGTTAGGTCCCTGCCATTTTGGTCCTTTATCATGCCCATCTTTGTATGAAATGTTTCCTTCATATCTCCAATTGTCTTGAAGAGATCTCTGGTCCTCCCTATTCTATTGTTTTCTTCTATTTCTTTGCGCTGTTCATTTAAGAAGGCATTCTTCTCTCTTCTAGCTGTTCTCTGGAATTCTGCATTCAATTGGGTGTATCTTTCTCTTTCTCCCTTGCCTTTTGCTTCCCTTCTTTCCTCAGCTATTTGTAAAGCTTCCCCAGAAAGCTATTTTGCTTTCTTGCATTTCTTTTTCTTTGGGATGGTTTTAGTTGCTACCTCTTGTACAATGTTGCAAACCTCCGTCCATAGTTCTTCAGGCACACTGTCTATCAGATCTGATTCCTTAAATCTATTTGTCACCTCTACTGTATATTCATCAGGGATATGATTCAGGTCATCCCTGAGTGGCCTAGTGCTTTTCCCTACTTTCTTCAACTTAAGCCTAAATTTTGCAACCAGAAGCTCATGATCTGAGTCACAGTCAGCTCCTGGTGTAGTTTTTACTGACTGTATAGAGCTTCTCCATCTTTGGCTGCAGACCTCATAGTCAAACTGATTTTGGTGTTGACCGTCTGGTGATGTCCATTTGTAGAGTCATCTGTTGGGTTGTTGGAAAAGAGTGTTTGCTATGACCGTCGTATTCTCTTGACAAAATTCTACCAGCCTGTGCCCTGCTTCATTTTGTAGTCCAAGGCCAAACTTGCCTGTTATTCCAGTTATCTTTTGGCTTCCTACTTTATCATTCCAATCCCCCATGATGATAAGGACATCATTTTTGGGTGTTAATTCTAGAAGGTGTTGTAGGCCTTCATAGAACCCGTCAACTTCAGCCTCTTCAGCACCAGTGGTTGGGGCATAGACTTGGACTACTGTGATGCTGAATGGTTTGCCTTGGATTTGAACTGAGATCTTTCTGTCATTTTGGAGATTGTATCCCAGTATTGCTTTTCCTACTCTTTTATTGACTATGAAGGCTGCTCCATTTCTTCTGAGGGATTCTTGCCTGCAGTAGTATACCTGATGGTCATCTGAATTAGATTCACCCATTCCTGTCCATTTTAGTTCACTGATTCCTAAGATGTTGATGTTCAGTCTTGTCATCTCTTGTTTGATCACATCCAGCTTGCCTTGATTCATGGATCTTACATTCCAGGTTCCTATAGAGTATAGATCTTTGCAGCATCGGACTCTCCTTTCACCACCAGATACATCAGCAACTGAGTGTCCTTTCGGCTTTGACCCAGTCGCTTCATTTTTTATGGCGCTACTAGTACTAGCCCTCTGCTCTTCCCCAGTAGCATATTGGACACCTTCTGACCTGAGGGGCTCATCTGGCGTCATACCTTTTTGCCTTTTGGTACTGTCTATGGGGTTTTCATGGCAAAGATACTGGAGTGGGTTGCCATTTCCTGCTCCAGTGGAAAATACAGTATTATACAAAACAGACAAACAAAGGCTGCATGGTAGTCTGTTGTATCCAGCTTTGTATCTAGCATCCTTCATTTTGATTTTCTTTTGTTGATGTGGATTACCTACCTTGAGACCATGCGATGAAACCCCACATGCTTTGAGTCAGTGTTGTGGTTTGAATACTGAAGCAAAATTTAGCACGGGAAGTAAGAGCTATATTGCAAAGTCTGGCCAAATCATATCAATCAGAATTCACAAAAAACTTATCAATATAAACATAATTAAACTCTATGTTCCAACAGCAAATGCTGAAGAAGAAGAAATCAAAAACATTTATACAGGTATTGAAGAGGAAATTGATAACACACCAAAATAAGCAAAAGTGGGAAACAAAGCAAAATCCAGTGTGGTGGCAGATTTTGGCATTATGGGTCAGAGATGAAGCAGGAGAATAACTCATAGAGTGCTGGAATGGCATATTTCTGTCTGTTGCAAATACATATTTCAGACAACTGGTTAGACAACCACAAACATAAATATCACCAGATGGCCAGTACAGCAAACAAATACATTATGTAAGGAGGAAATGAAGAAGTCCTATTCTCACTGCCACAACAAGAACAAGAGCAGAATGTGGTAGTGACCATGAATTCTTAATATCAAAAGCTGAAAAAAAATCACTGACAGAAGCACACTGCCAAAATACAACTTAAATAAGATTCCTGGAGAATTAAAGTCCACATAAAGAATTGATGTGTATTATTGAACTCAATTGTCCATGAGCCAGAAGAACTGTGGACTGAAACCAGAGAAAATATCGGGGAAGAATGCTGTAAGACAATTCCTGTAGCAAAAAGAGAGAAAAGACCTAGGTGGATGATGGAAGAAGCACTCACAATTGGTAGAGACAGGTGAGAAGCAAAAATAAAAGGGGGAAAGAAATAGAGTATGAGTCACTCTCCTGTTCAGAATCCTGTGTGCAACTTTTCAACGACTATCACACAGAGACAAAAGAACTGTTACAATGGCTGGTGCAAAGAAATAGAAAAGAACAACAAAAGAGGAAAAAGCAAGAGTCCTCTTCCAGAAGATCCAAAAAATCAAAAGAAATTCAAACCTAGTTTAGAAATGCTAAAAGACAAATAGGATGACATACTATCTGACCAGGAGAAAATAAAGAGGAGGAAACATTGTACAGAAGAACTATACAGAAGAGATAAAAAGATGACTGATCCCTTTGAAGAGGAATCCTGTGAGGAAGAGCCTGAAATAGTAGTGAACACTGCTCTGGAAGGACGGACGGATGGACAGAATAAAATACCTGAAGCAAGTTACTAATAGAACTATTCCAAAATGCGTAGAACGAATTGGTACAAATCCCCGCTAGAATATGCCAACAAATATGGAAAACAAAGCAATGGCTCACATACTGAAACATTCATTATAAATTCCATTCCCCAAGAAAGGAAATGCTGAGGAGTGTAGCATACCATAGGATCATTGCACTAGTTTCCCATACAAGCAAAATAATGTTCAAGGTGTTGCAACAAAGAATTTTACCCTGTGTAGAGCAAGAAATGCTTGATCCGGATTCTGAAAAAAGAAGCACTTGAGATCATATCACAAATACATGTTGGTTTGTGGAGCACACCAATGAATTTTAGAATACCAGTGAGTGTTTTGTAGACTACAACAAAACCTTTGATTGTGTGGAACATGAGAAGTTATGTGTCCTGAAGCACACCCTATATTGTGAACAAGAAGCTAGTTTAGGGCAGAATGTGGAGAAATGGAATAGTTTCCTAGAGGCAAAGTCATCAGATAAGGATGTATTTCATCTCCTTACTTGTTAGCCTCTACACAGAACATATGTATTAGGAAAGCAGGATTAGGACTACAGGGAGGAAGAGTAAATATTGGTGTAAGATGCCTCAATAATTTTAAATATACAAATGATAAAAATACAACTGGCAGAAAGTAGCAAGCTGCAAAACCAGAACTGTAGGTAAGCATTAAGAAAACAACGTCACATCCACAGAATTGCAGAATGTTACTGTCAACACTGAGGAAATTGAAATTGTGAAATTGTGCAAACCTTAGTTCAATCATCAGTTCAAATGGAGACTGGAGCCAAGAATCTGTTGGGGGAAAGGGGCAGTATTCTTCTGAGGACATCCAAAACACCATATTTGGCCCCTGTGTCTGCAATTCTACACTCTTGTTTTATAGTAATGGTACTTCTCATACATTCAGTAATTTATCATCCTTTCTGTTTCAGACTGTGCAAGTGATTGTCCAGGCCCGACTTGGAGAAAAGATCTGTACTCGATCATCATCATCACCAACTGGCTCTGACTGGGTAAGTTGTATTCCTTATTTGAGAAATCCCATGAGTCTCTAACTTGTTTTATCATATGAAGATGAAAAAATGCTTAAGCAGAAAACTGTAAAAATCATTCCATGCAAAAAGTGGATACATGCTCCTATTTAAAAAATAACAAAAACTATATATTGTATAACTTCATTCTTTTGGGGTGGCTGAGTATACAAATGTAGGATATGTCTGAGCAGTTGCAACCGCTGTGAACCATCTTCTCCTGTAAACATGAGTTATACTAATCTGTTATCAGCTCAGCTCTTGAACATATATTCTTAGAGTGTGCCACATGGAAGGTTTCTCAAATAGCTGCAGAAATTAAAACCCACGTTCTTAATTTTGCAGTTTAACTTGGCAATCAAAGATATACCAGAAGTTACTCATGAAGCAAAAAAAGCCTTGGCAGGACAGCTGCCTGCTGTTGGGCGCTCCATGTGTGTGGAAATCTCTCTCAAAACCTCTGAGGTAAAGGGTAAACAAAAAATAAGATTGTATTTTGCCATCTTTCTTTTTTTGGATTCTTATGTCAAGCTCAGTACATATACATGCATGTAATGCAATTTAGGACTGTTGATGCTGTAACAGAAAGCCTAGATATACATAAAAGTAGGAGCCACAATGCTCTGGAAATGATGTCAAATTTAGGCTATTCTTGGGATCAAGCTAATAAGGCTGAGTTCTGACCCTTAGATATAAAAAGGGTTGTAGATAGGTGCTTGTGACAAAGCTGCCTCTTTTAAGGTTAACGATTGGTCTGTTAAAAGTTGTTTTAAAACATACTATCTTGTATGCTTCGAGCAAATAGCCCACCAGAAGCATGTGGGAAGAGGCTAGATTTGTGAGGAAAGCCACATTCACTGCAGAGGCGAGTATGCATGTCATCTGAAAGAAAAGGGAAGTCAGAGTAACCTTAAAGGAATAAAAATAATGCTGACTCATTTGAATAAGCGTATCCTTAATCTAGTTGTAAATCAGAGGAAACAGATCATAACTCATGTTTAGTTTATTATCACATTTAGGATGCTGAAAGTTCAACTTCATACTGAGTACTCCAAGGCCACATAAGATTTAAGCTCTGCTTAAACTGAGAAACCAGTTTTACAAGTCTTTGTTAAGAGTTGCTTTTCATTTTAAATAAGCCTGCACAAATGCACTGCAGTAGCATTTTCATGATGAGAGTTTGTTTAAGCATTTTCTTTTTCATTACAGGGGGATTCCATGGAGCTGGAAATCTGGTGTTTAGAAATGAATGAAAAGTAAGAATGCATTCCTGATTCTTGCCTACAACACAAATATTTCCTGGCCAAGTCAGTGCCTATGGACATGGAATGATTTATCTATAAGTGGAAGTACCAAGGGCTATTTCCCATATCTCTGCTTCCATTCTTAAAACACTTAAACGGAAACAACAATTGATTACAGCTGCACATCTTTGTTAAACTAATGTCTCAGACTTAGAATATGCCACACCTTACAAAGTTCCTAGAAGCTTATCTGATACATATCTGTCTCTAAACATTTTAATTATACAGATCCTTGTCTGGTTACTTTCTGGCTACTCCTTCACATGTTTTCCAAACAGAGATAGAGAAAGGTATCATGGAAACGAAACAAAAACTTTTCAGCATCCAGAGCATGTGGATACTAGAATCCTTAAATAGGTAGAGACAACTATACTGTGCAGGGCTTTGGAACTATCCTTTCCCTGCAGTGTCTTACAATAAAGAATTATAAGATGAATGCAGAAAAACAACACAAAGTGATAGAAGCAAAAGGAACTGAAACCAATGATTCATAAATTAAATGGTTTCTTACAAAAGATAAATCAGTGTTTTAAAAATATTTTATGCTCAGTTTTCTTCCACTTTAAAAAAAATAATGCATACTTAAACGTAAGTTAACTAGAGTCAAACATTTATCTGCCCCACTGAGTTGCTATTAAAAAGTTTAGAATTAAAGAAGGGAAACTGGTACCTCTTGAGTACATGCTCAGCCTAGAGTTGGTTTTCACTATCAGAAATAACCTGTCACACAAAACCCACTCCAGTTTCTCTCCCACCACAAAACTTTTCTTTATTTTGTCAGCAAGATGAGTAGAGGAGTCTTATTCCTACTATTAAGCAGATGGGAATCAGAAATTCTTGTCAATATGATGCAGATCACTCAGAAATCTATCAGGAGATCATGATCTGCCTTTTGCCTGTTCACTGATATGTAGTTTGTCAATGTACATGCTTATAGAAGAATATGGTAGTAAATGTTCAGAACTGTACAGTAATTGTTTTGTCTTGCTTAGGTCTTTTTATGATTTCATGAAAATAACTTTGTTTTGAAATTAGATACATATTCTATTAGAACAGACTATACGACTAGATTTGTGTATCCTGAAATATGCCATATTCTTTTAGTATGACCCAGTAACATGTCACAACGAGTTCTGGATTGTGTAAGTCAGCTGCTGCTGCTAGTCACAAAGTTGTGTCCGACCCTTTGCGACCCCATGGACAACATTCTTCCAGGCCTCCCTGTCCTCCACCATCCCCCGGAATCCACCTGAGCTCAAGCTGACTGCTTCAGCAAGCCAAGCAGCAGCAAGCACATGTCCTATTTTACGCTTGCCCTTCTCTTCCACTCTTAATTAGCAGCCCAGGATTGCCCAGTTTCTGACTTTTTGTTATGACATTCAAATGTGGAACTCTGTGTTGTTTCATCCAGACTCAGTCCCCGAACCACAAACTGGGTGATTTTGGAGTTAACTCCAGATGGCTTAAACCCTAAATGACCCAAAGCACCATGTTTGGATGTCATAATGTCCCAAGAATGGGGGTTCCTGGATTGTTGATAGAAAGCAGAGGTGACAAGTACACAGGGAACAACAGACTCAATATTGCTCAGCCTTAACAATTCCTGGGTCACATAATAGAAATTATTGTGACATGTACTATGCCAAAATCATAATTAGAACAAAGTCATTTAAATCAATGGGACTTAAGTTAGCCATGATTAATTTAAGTCCCATTGATTTCAGTAGGTCTGCTGTATGTATGACTATGTTTGACTCCAACCTAAGGTCACTAGCTTCTGTTGGTATAATTTTTTCACCTCTTCGCAATAGTTGAACTCATTCTTTCTATATGCCTTTAGGTGTGATAAAGAAATCAAGGTTTCCTACACTGTGTATAACAGGCTGTCTTTACTGCTGAAGTCTTTGCTTGCTATAACAAGGGTGACTCCTGCATACAGACTCTCAAGGAAACAAGGTCATGAATATGTAATATTGTATAGGTAATACTTACTTTAATAATCCTTTGACTTTTTTCTTCTTTTCTTTCAAAATATTTTAAAGATGTAGTCATTTTACCAATATCCAGTTTATGATTTACTATATTCTTCTAAGCAAGTCTACAGTATATGACTACCTGTGTATTCTTGCTTCCATTTTTCCTAGTACGTCTTGTTTGTCTGATGGTCAAACAAAAATGTTGTTAACAAAGTTCAACTTTTCTTTACAGAAATTGTTATATTAAATAATCATTTTTGTTTAATCAAGACATATTGAGTGGGGATTGTCATGTTCTGTTCTTTTGAATCATCTATACATTTCAGTGGGAATTGAGTAATGAGGTCAACTGTCCTGTGTTGTTTCAGCTCTCCCCTGTTCATGCTTTTCAGTTAAACAAAAACATTTATAAAGCTATTAGACATCTAAGTTCTACATAAATAAGAGAATGTGACCACCATTGCCTGAGCTAATTCAGGCCTATTTCATCTCAACCAGTTTCTCAAAAATTCTCATAGAAAATAATTTAGAAAATAAAATTCTCATAGAAAATAATTTAGCATTTTCATTTTATCACATTTTCTATTTTATATGGAAAATTTTATTTTGTGGTTTCAATATTTCAGGAGTACAGAAATAGATCTTTTCTGTTTTTGTAAAAAAAAAACACTTTTTTTCAGTACCAATAAATAAATAAATAATCCAAAGTACTGCAAAGGTCCCTTGCACCCTAGGGGTAAATGTACTTTTGTTGGTAAATTATGCTTCAGGTTAACTTAATCTTGATAGAGGATTTACCACTTTCATATTGAAAACTTGGAACATTGATTTCTTATTTGTAGCTTTCTGTAGGGAATGGAGTTCACTGGACTCCTACCATTCTTTATTGTGAGATGAATATTAACTTTGTTTTGTTTAATTTTCTCTCCTGTTTACTCCTTTAGGGCTTTCTGGTAACTCAGTTAGAAATTGGAAATGCACATTAACTTTCTATGCAAGTTAACCTTGTGAGATCATTATTGTACCACAATAATGTTTGTGTTAGACTAAAATTTCAGAACTTACTATCTATGAAATCAATTTTTATATAAAACTGAAATGATTTTGAAATAGTCATTTACTTTATGTCCAGATAGACTTTTAAAGGGCTATGTAGAACCCCAATAGCAGACTGTTTCTCTTATATATAAAAATAATGTGTGAGGGTTAAGAAAAGTATGATACTCTGCTCTGAATGTTTATGGTTTCAATGACTTGGAGGAGGCAAGTTGCTGAAAATCTAGATAAATTCAAACGTTGGTCTGGCCCATGCTTTATTCTTAAGTTAAAATTCTGGGCTGTTTCTTCTTCAACAGCACAGAGGTCTTGGAGAACCCAGGATCCAGCCAGTTCACTCCCAAATAATCCATGGTTAATAAACCATGAGTTGTTAAAGCACATGAACTGTGTGTGTCTGCACTACTTGACAGATTGCAATTGTTTGCCAGTCAGTTCCTGGTATGAATCAAAGTGATGACGCTGACTTTTCAAAGCCTTAACTGGCTTAGGATCAGTCTATCCAAAGAAGCACTGTCTCCTATATGTTCCTGCTAGATTGTTAAATCCTATTCAGAGACCCTTTTCTGGATGCTGCTGCCCAGAATTGTGTGACAGATGATTATCAAGGAAAAATTCCCCCCTCCCCATCTTCAGTATCTGTGGAAATGCCTGGAATCTTAATTGCATACATTTAAATCACAGTCTAAAGCCTTGCTCTTACAACAAAAATTAAGAGTGCAATCCCATTGGGATGCCTGTAAGCCCCTGGAAACAGATTTATGGGCATTCATTACACCATGGAACAAACAAATGATTTTGTCATCCTGTTCTGCATTTTTGCTAGTTAGGGTTTATTGCAGAGGGGAGGGAAGGAGGCTAGAGAGGCTGCAGATATGTCATTTCCTGGCCTTCCTCATCTGCCCCTTCCCTTCCCCCTTTTTCCATCTCCGAGGTCACCTTTCAGTCTCAGAGAACAACTAGTGTGGTTCTGTCTATGCTGGTTGTAAGAGGATGGGGGATTTAGGTTGGAGCCCTATTTCTGACTTCAAAACTGGAAATGCAGATAATCCTGTGGTTCCTCAGATACTGTCTAGGAGGCATGGGGTCATGCCCTCTCAGGTGTTGTTGTTTCTTGGTTTTACAGCTGTTACCTCCATTACTGTTTTGAAAACTGTAATATTTTTATATTCTCTGTGTGGTATGAGGTAGTCAGCCATAGTAGGGGTTACACCCTTTCACACTCAGAGATATGGTGGAAATCACATACCTAGTGAACTTGGTAAGGAAGTAGATGTCTCTTCTGTTCTTCCTCATATTTTATATTTTCATTTGTGGTATGATTGTTGTTTTAGTATAGCTTTAGGTTTTTATGATTGTAAATCACTTCAGGGGCATTAAGCAGTATACAAATATACAAGAGAGCCTTTCTGACCAAAGGAATGGGATATAAATCTAATAAATAATAAATGAATAAGTATATCTAATTTGTGCTCTCTGTCTATCTGTCTCCACCTATTCTAGGATCTATTTTGGAGAAGTACAGCTGAGTGGTTTGGGAGAAGGTATGCCTGAACAATGCACAAACTAGCTGAAAGCTTTTGTTTTGACAAGCTATATACCAGTAACATTTTTTAAGGTTAACTGAAAAATTACAGACTAACCAATTAAGTAAAAGAACAAAACTAGGTGCTGGTAATATACAAGATTTATTAGGAAGAGGTATACCTGAAATCAGATATCCTTCAGGGAAGGATATTGTTATTCCACAATTGCTAGTTGGATGAAAGAGAGCTTTTACAGAAATACCATCCAAGGGCAGGGATTCATAGAATAGTAGAGTTTGAAGGGACCATGGAGGCTGCTGCTGTTGTAGGACACCAATTTATATCATCCCACTCATGTTGTAAGCCGCCCCGAGGTTTTGGCAAGGGGCGGCATAGAAATGTTATAATAATAATAATAAAATAATAATAGCTGTCCAGTTTCTTTTTGAATGTCTCTCAAACCTCTCTAGGCATCTGGTTCCAAATGAACCTTGATCATTGTTGCTGACTGTTAGTTTTTAGTTTTTAAAATAAAGTGATTGTGACATTTACAGTTCCTCTTTTGCCTCTACAGGATTTCAGACAGTCCGTGTTGGGACAGTGGGTACTCCATTAGGCACCATCACTTTGTCATGTGCCTACCGAATCAACCTAGCTTTCATGTCTACCAGGTAAGGATATCATAGTCAATTGAAACCATCTTTTCCAGGAAATATTCCACTTATTAAGCCCACAGTCTTGGGGTTCTTGGATCTGCAGAGTGATATTTTTTAGCCCTGAGTTACACAACTGAATACCAAATTCCTTGTTCATATGTGGAGTTGCAGGATTGAATTGTGGCAATGCTCTGCTCTCCATAAGCTGATGCAAAGAGCATTCTGGCTGCCAGAACTTGGATTGCAGCAGAGAAGGAAAACAGTCTTATGAATAACACCATTTGCTTGTTGCATTGCAGGCAGTTTGAGAGGACCCCACCTATCATGGGGATTATCATTGATCACTTTGTGGACCGTCCCTATCCCAGCTCCTCACCCATGCACCCCTGCAATTACAGGTGAGGAAACAGGAATCACCAATAATAGATAAAGGCAGTTATTCCCACGTCCAGAGCCTTTATGGCATGTGCTATTGTGTGGAGAAACAGACAAGAGTCCTAGTAATTTTCTTATGTGAAGTGGTGTACATTAAAAAAGGCCTGCATTTCCTATTCTGTTAGAAATGGGTGGGTGGAAAATGGCCCCAAAAATTCTCAACATTTTAGATTTATTCCAGCTTACACAATGGTTAGTGAAAAATCTTTGCATTGATGTTTTCCTGATTATACTGTATGTAGAATAAAAATGCTTTGCTACATCAGATGACTTGCAGGAGAAAAAAACCCGCATATGCTTTGCAAGCATCCATCTTAGTTTTTCATGCTCATGTCTCAATATGATAAAGCATGCACAGTTCCATGCACAGTTGTTTCTTTTAAAATCAAGTTTCCTCTCTTAATATGTTCTTTAAAATTGTAGCTCAAGCAATGACAAAGTGTTTTTGTGACCATCACTAAAGCTGCATCTCCACAGCTTGTAGCATTAATTTATCAAAAGAGTCCTCCTATCAGAAAAGATTAGATATGAGGCCAATGTTTCATTATTCTCCAGGACAAATCACATCCAAAAAGACTTAATATATCCAAGTAGTTCTTCCTTCAGCACTTGTAAGGAAAGAGTAAGAGCTGCTTCATAATTCTCCTTTCAACTCCACTCATATGGCCTACTTCTTGCCTCCAATGTCTCTGTCAGTTTCACATTTATATTTATTGAACCATTCCCATTTTGAAATTTATTCCATTGTTTTGTTACAGAGCAGCAGGTGAGGAAAATGCAGTAGCATATCCATCAGTGGAAGACTCCCAAGAAGCATGCACCACCTCTTTCTCTACTTCTCCACCATCCCAAGTAAGTGACTTTTCAAAGATATTGCTAGAAGTTTCCCAGCATGCCTCTTTGGAAAAGAGGAAGTATACAGCCACATTTGCCAATAAGTTTTTGTTTTTAGTTCACTGACAGCCACCTCTTTATTGTACACTTTGTGATCTGTAAGATAGATAAAGAAATGAATATTCATGAAAACTAGTCAGGGAACTTTGGTTTCTATGCCTGTGGGGTTAAGGTGCAGTCCTATGCATATTTAGACAAGGAAATGGCCTGCAATTCTCAGTGTGCCCTAGCCAAACATGGTATGCCAAGGCAGGCTGGAAATTGTACGCTTTTCTCTGCCTTAATATACACAGACTGTGCCTTAAGTTTTCTTGTCAATATATTTTTATATGCCCAGTTATATACACAACTTGTTACTGGTTTCATATACAGTTTTGGATCTGAATATGTTTCTTACACACTACTGATTATACTGTATTCATCTTTTCCCATTCAGTAGTGCTTTAAAAAATAAGCTCTGCCTATCAAATATTAAACATTTAAGGATGGATCACTTTTTTTCTGTACCTTCTAAAACTGTACATATGCGCAGGGAACCCAAATTTAAAAGACAACGAGCCCTGTATCTGTGTAGCAGGTGTTGAGCAACTTTATTTTAAAGCTCCAATTAAACAGGGATAATCTTGATGTGGAAATAATTTTCTGAATGCAATTTCTCCCTGTTGGAATTGCAAATGAATGCTGTTGGGATAAGCAAAGTCATAGACAACCGTTCTGCAGAAATACTAACGACTATATTTTAATATTAGACAGGAAGAAAGAGGCATATAAACCTTGTGCCTCATATCTGGATTAGAATATTAATGTCTAGTTCAAATTTGTGTGTGTTCTGGAGCATTCTTGACATTCTGATTATAGACTTTCCTACTACTTAATGTAACTATTACAAAAGAAACCAGATCTTCTGAAGAGTTTTGACTCTTGAAGAAACATGCCTTCTGGATTTCTGGCAGCCAGTGCAGTTAATAGATTTCTGGCCAAAACATTTCTTTGTCCTAGGGCTTTGTGTTCAGAATATTCAGAGAGCCATTTTGACTGAAGGGGCAGGGTATAAATCTAATAAATGAATAAATTTTTAAAATGCTCATTGGCTTATTTCTCATCAGTTGTTCTGTAACAATCAGATAAGATAAATTTCAGAATGGAAATATTCAGTAAAGCCCTTTGAAAAATGCAAGACTATTACAGCTAGATTCTCTAAAATTTACACATTTCATTTAAGGCAAGTGCAGTTGGATATTGTTGTAATTCCAAATACATGTTAATGTGAGACAAAATCTCAGACTGTTAGTTAAATATATTCTGCAGTGAATTCTTTGATACAAACTATAACTAGGAACAGTTCAGTGTGAAACAGATAACAATTCCCCTGATATTGTAAGCCATTTATAAATTATGCAGTGCCCTTACAATTCTATAACAGCTGACATGCAGGAACATTTCCAATAGCTGTGGCCACAGGGTGGTCTTGACAGGGTTCAGTTCATCCAACTCTTTTCAGTTTTTCTTTCTGAAACCCTTTTCTTTTTCTTCCTTTCATGTTTTCTTTTGTGTGTCTTTGTCTATGTATAGTGTGTGTTTACTGTCACTAAAGCACATTTTCCGACCCCTCCTCCTGTGGTGATGGATACCTTGAAGGGCCCTATGATGGGGCTGGCCTTTTCACATCAAGTGAGTTCATTGTAGGAAAGTGTGTGGGGCCTAACAAATTTAAAACCCAGAAAGTACATGGCAAAAATGTGTTTACAGTAACATATAAATGATGTGCTGATTTTATACCTATGAGACTGAAGACCCTGAAATGAAGCAGGCCTTTGGATTTGTTCTAAATATGTTGTCGTCGTTGTTCTACAACATCTTTTCCATTTTTGATGGAGAAGGAAGGAAGGAAGGAAATGAAAGTTATTTCTTTCATGTAAAGTTGCATTTGTTCATCTTCCTGGTCTCTGTGCATCACACATACAGGCTTTGCACCTGTAGAGAGCCTGTTGTCAGGAAGATTTCATAACTGAGAGCTCAGTCATCCTCGCATTCAGTTTACATGGGAGGAGTTTCCACCCATTCCCTTAGTTCTTCCTTGACTGGCTTCTCTGCTGCCTCAGGAAGTTTTTTTTTTCTCTTTCTTTGCAACTTGACCAGGTTTTCCTTCTGTTCTATTCTTCCTCAAAAGCATTATTCAATATACCCACTTTAACTCTTGCCCATTCTAGTTTTTCTAAACAATTACCCCTTTTGCCCAAAGAAAAATGGAGACCTTTCTTCTTTCCTCACTATATATATCCATAACTGCCTATTTCTACTTTCTACTCATTCCTGATGACATCTAAGGCACTTTTTCACAAGCATGTTAGATGTGCCAGCAGGCTCCTGCTGACTGATATGCATTCGCTCTGCCTGCTTTGCCTGGGTGAAGGGCATGTCTCTGATCAGTGCCCTTACTGCCAGGCCTTCACAAGACAGGCCCAAAAGCACAGGGTAGATCAGGTTTGTGTGGAGCTTTGAAGCAAGGTACTCCAGGCATTGAACACCAGCAAACAGCCAGAAATAAACTGCTCTTTTACTTCTGAGGTGTCATTCTCAATTCAGTCTGTCTCCCCCACAGCTCTGTCTCTAACCATGGGCTACTCCACACTGCTGTCCTTGAGGAAATCCTTAAAGATCTCAAAAGCAAAGTAATTCATTAAGAAAGCCAAGGAAGCAAAGCTGGCAGAGGCTGCAAAAGCGAAGGTTCACAAGGCACTCCAAACAACATGATCTGGATTCAGCTAGAAGGGAGATTTTGACACTGAGTGCAATGAAACTAGGACCATTGGTACTGAGACCAGAACCCATCTCAGTTTCAGTACCAAAAGTGAAGATTTAAGATCTATCTCCCCCTGCTTAGCCCTCTTCCAAAATTTTGGTATCCCAAGCAGCTGGTGTAACTGCATGTGAAACTAGCATCTTTGAGTTCAGGTTCCTTCCGTGCATTGTCTTCAGCTGCCACGTCTCCAGTCTTTTACCAGATCTAATCACCACAGGAAGCACTCCCATTCTCCCTCTGATTGGAACCAACGCTCAGACTGGTCTGTCCATGCTCTGTACCCAGAGTACTATGATCCATAGGGGTATTCACACCAACAGAAACTCTTCTGTGAACTGCAGTAGCAAGGGCATTTCTATGCAGGTCCAGAGGCTGGCCCAGTCTCTCACACCAGCTATCCAGCTGCATTTCAACTTCAAGCCCCAGTGGATTGACAGGCTCAACAACAGCTGCTGTTGCATTTGAGGCACAGAGATGACCCTGATAAAAATTCCCTGATAAAGCACTCAGATCCTCACAGAAGGCAACCGTGACTTTCCTTGGCCTCACCCTCTCCCCATTCTCATCCTCCATCTCATTTGATGGTTGCTTCTTTCTCCCTTCTTTTTTGCATGGAAAAATATAACTACATATGCTGAGGCTCTCTCCAGTGCCCCCCTGTCTCTTAGTAACATGAGAGTACTGTTCCATGTCTGGCAGAGGTAGAACAGCTACATTTGAAGGAAGTGATAGTCCCTTCTCAAGTCCACCATGGATTCCATTCCGTATATTTCATAGTATTGAAATGAGATAGAGGACACTTACCAATCCTGGACCTCAACTTCTTTGTAGATCTTTGGGATGTGTACTTCCATACTTCCACTAAACATTCAAACAGATACTACCTGCATTTCCAGGTGGGAAGAAAGAATTTTACTCCTCAGTCTATCCAGTGTTGCTAGGGTATTTACAAATACATGGAGGTAGATCATGCCTTCAAGGAATCCAAGTCTCCTCAAAGCAGGTCAGCTGGCTAATTGTGCCACACTTCATGATTTGCTTGATCCAGACTATCTATTTTTTATTTACTATATAATCTTGGACTGTGCATAAATGCAGAAAAATCTGTTCATTTCCCCTTTCCAGTCAATGTTTTTCACTGTGGCACAGCTGGTCTTCATCTCAGCAGCAGCTCCATAGACAACAATATCCATACTTACTGAGATGCCTAACAAGCAGTTGAGACAGTCTCTTATCACTGCACCCCAGCTCCAATGGTGCCACTCCAGCTTAGCCAAAGGAACCCTGTTTTCCCCTCCTGAGCTGACTTTCACAGTCAAGAAAGATATCTCCTATCCAGAAGGAGAACCCATATGTGGTCTCTCAAAGACCCATGGGACATAGAATGTGAAACCTGCAAACATGCCAGCATCTGGAAATGGTTGTAGTGAAGAAGCCTCTTGCTTTGTTCCAAATATTCCTGCCCAGTTACCATGCCAAGATCACCACGGAGAACACCACAGTGGTCTTCTACATAAACAAATGGGGAGCAATCAGTTGAGCCCATTGACTTATTTAGCCAGCCTGATCTGGAATTGGTGTGTTGACAGAAACACCGTACTGATGGGACCAGCAACATCTTAGCCATCATACTGAGCAGGAGAAATCCCAGTGCAAGTGAATGGTATTTGAGCACCGCACCATGGAAGCAGATCTTCAATTTTTTCTGTCAACCTCTTTATCACTCAAGGCAATACTATTTGCAAGATGCCGTTCTGTTGATTGGATGGGGAGTTGTTTTTACCTTTCCCCCTGTTTCCTCTGATCACAAGGATACTAATGAAAGTTCATCAGGATGCTGCTGACTGCATCCCAATAACACTTCAGTGGCCCAGGCAACCCTGGTTTGCTGCCAGTTGAACATGTCCAATCAGTCCAGCTCCCACTAATATCTTGTGCTTGGGGGAGAAGTGGCATGGAGGTTCCTGCCTTTGAGCATGCAATTCCCTCTCTGCCGCATGAACTACAGGAAATACAGGACATGGCTTGAAAGTTTCCACCAGGAAGTCCTACACTTTAAAATGGCAAGCTTTCTTAAGGCTCATCATTTTTTCCTCACACCTATTAAATAGGCAATTCCTTTGAGGACTAAAGAACATTGTTCCAGTCACTCATTTTTAGCACCTAGCTGGGGTGTCCCCGTTGTCCTACAAGTTCTTACAAGGAAACCATTCGAACCCATGGTGACAGTTGACCTTCATTTACTATCCTGGAAGGTTGCCTTCCTGGTGGTGAAAATGTCAGCCCAGTGCTCCAGTGAATTGTATGCTGTATGAATGGATATCCCATACTTTGTCTTTCACAGAGACGAGGTGATATTTCTGGATCCCTCCTTCCTTCCCAAAGTTGTATCTCCTGTTTCATTTGAATCAGGACATTGTTTTGACAGTCTCTTTTGAGTCTCTGTCCAGTCTGAGGGAGTCTGTGCTGCATATACTGGAACTTTGTAGCATGTTTGCATATTTTTATCAGTCCTGAAGGCTTTTAATCTGTAATGATAGCAAGACTAAAGGCAAGACCTGTCACCTTAGAATCCTGCAGCCTGAGTGATAAGGGTAATTTCCCTGGTTTATGAGCTAGCTGATCTACAGCTCTCAGTACCGTCAAAGGCACACTATGCAAACAATGGTGACCTTAACTACACTGCAACCAGGATTTCTCTGCCAGGACTTCTGTAATGAGCAGCCTGGTTGATTCCTTCAATATTTGTGAAACATTACAGACACAACATCTGTGTCAAAGCAGATTGTGCCCTTGAGAGAGCAATCGTTTCATCAGTACTTCAATGATGATGTCATCCAAGGACACCTAAGCTTGCTAGTCACAAATATGTGTAATGCACAGAGACCACAAAGAAGAAAGGTAGGTTGCTTACCTGCAACTGTCATTCTTTGAGTGGTCATTCACAGACCCTCCCCCAGTGACCCCTCCCCTTGGTGTCATATGCTAAAGTTTTCTTCTCCTATATGAGATTGGATCTGAAATTTTCCTTTCTATACCTAGAATTGGTTTGACTAAAAATCTGTTAAAATGATCCTCCCTCAGGCCACAAAGATGGTATTAAGTGGCATCTGAGGGAAAGGGTAGGTGATCTTCCCACATATACTGAATGTTTGGGCAGGAGAGAGATTCCCACCAAAATGCTCTCAGCTATGAAATCATCCCAGCAACAGACTCCATGTAGGCATGGAACCCATATGTGTGAATGCACAGATAACCCCTCAAAGAACAACAGTTACAGGTAAGCAACCTGTTGTTATATTATCACTGAACAGGGAATTTGCAAGGAGTAATGCTAACATGTTGTTGAGAAGGTCCAGGAAAAACTTTCAGGGAAATCCTGATTGCTTTGTGGAAAGTAACTTTTTTTGGAAATTGCTGTAATATTTTATTGCGCTGGCTAGGTTGCAGGGAACAGTATTTTTCACTTTTGAAGAGATACAAGGCCCATTGCCACACTCACATATCCTGTTATCCCCCGTCCCCAAAAAGAAGTTGTTCTGCTTAGGATAGTTTGTTCAAATATATTATGGAGTATATCCAGTGTCTTCCACCAGTAGAATGGACACTACCACAAGCAGATAAATCCCTCCTCCACAATCTTCTCTAAAGAGATACTTTCATCACATGATCAGATCTCAACTCATGTAGTATTAAAGAAACAGACACAATTTTAATACGAGATTTATTTGATAGGCATGAGTAAGAGGAGTGATGAAAGGAAGGGGGATTTGCATCGTGCATAGATAGTTCAAGGCTCCGTTCTGATGATGGTCATCACTGCCAAAGTATAGGCAAGAAATGATCCCTAAATGAAATTCCCAAATTCCAGTGTATGCTCTTTTGCAAATGCACATCAAATTGCATCGCCTGAAAGGGCAAATGTTATCTAGGAATGATCAACAGATTTCATACCCTTCAAAATGGCCAGAGGAAAATGGTAATATGTGGCAGGCGTGGAAGCAGTAAGTAAGACAGCCAACAATTTTGTTCTTCTTTATTATTGTACAACTCTCATTTCGAAGCACTATTTTTTTAATTTTAAAATCTCGTAATGTCTATGGCTTCAGGTTTGGCACAGTGGCAAACGTCGTGTCCCTGTCTCCTGCATACATTGTAAACATGAATGTATCTGTCCATGCAGGCAGTACACAGAACTGTTGCTGGAAATGGGAGGCTTGTTCATTTCTCCCATATTCTCCAGTCAGCCATCCTTCTGTGTACTGTCCAAATTTTCTGATGCTCTGGATAGGTATGGGGGAGAATTTCATTCGGGTCACATTTTAATACAAACTTATGGAATTCTCAGTACTTGAATCTATATCAAACTGGAATGTGGTTAAGTGTCAGTAACTGCACAAACCTTTCACAACCTTCTTTTTTTTAAATGACTTTCTATTTGGTGTTATCAGCAAATTTGGCCTCCTCAGTGCTGACCCTCTAACTCTAGATTCTTTATGAACAAATTTAAAAGAGCCAGTTGGTGAAAAAAATTCACATATAAAAATATGCATACAAATGCATGTACATCTGCATAATTAATGTATTTTGTGTGCAAAGAGGCTTTATCATATAATCACCTGAAAAAGTTTATATTGAAAAACGTGTACAAAATGTGTTTTTTCAATACAATTTGAGAAACGTGATTAAAAATATGTAAGACTTTTTGTGCTGACATAAACATCCACAAGCTGATGTTGAAACAGGATGGAATGAGCTTAACTTTGTAAACTGAGAAAATGAACAACATTGAACTTGATAGATTCCCTGGGTCTGAAGTATATAAACAGGGATTGGGTACACAGAGCTTTACTGAGGCCTGTGTGACTTCATATGTAAGAGCTGCACCTGCACTTGGATTTTTTCAGGCTCCAGTAGATTTACTAAATACAGTTTCTATCTTCAAAAGACACTGCCGTGACACTTAAAAATATGGCCACTTCTCAAGCAAGGTATTTGGCACAAATTCAGTATACACTATGGAAAAATGGACATATGTATTCCATAGTAATACTTACACAATATGTAAGGTATGGGACTTGCTTCTTGTAAGAACAACCTCTTATATATATATTGTTTGTATATACTTCTAGCCATCATTCTCAGACACACCTCTCATCCATGGCTGCATACTGGAGATACTAATTGTCCTTTTATGGGTAGCCTGTAAACCCACAGTGTTTAATGCATTGACTCACTTGTTTGCTTTAACATTTTAAAAATAGATATCGTTCTGCACTGAACTTGCATTGAACTATCTCCCACAATATTTTTGTTGTGTTTTTACCAAAATGGGCTAAATTTGAAGGAAAATTCTTCATATATTATGCAGGAAAACATTCTAAAGATTGTTTGAAAGATCCTAAAACGGCTAAGCCAACAGAGTACACTAATTATTATATTTACATGGCCACATAAAATAGCACAAAACCACTGTAATGCAATGTTACCCTTCTGCTGCAGAATCAACTGATGTATCAGTAAGACAGCAGCCTAGTCACTCCTGCTGCCTAGTAGGCCTTTAGTTGCAACTGAAGGAGTCCAAACATTTGTTATTGAGTAGATTAAAAATATAATGAATAAATAGCCAATGATTATTTGTTTAAAGGCTTATTTCAGTATGGAAGTGGCCCTTTCCTTCTTGCCATGCTAGAGGACATCTTCTTTGTGGCATCCATCCTGACCACAGATGGCAGAGGAAAACAACAAACCCTGGTTCACACAACACAAGATGGCATGTTGTGAGCAGAGCCGGCTGGTGCCGGAGGTCAGACTAGATGGCCCAGGAGACCCCTTCTGACTCACTCTGTTTCTATGTTTAAGATGATAACCTGTTACAGGTTACTATCCATGCTGGGCTATGTCATGCAAACCCACACTTATTTCGCAAAGTGGCTTGTGTGTAGGTGACAAGCCACCCAACAACTCACAGCTTTTTCTAAGAGTTGTTGTACCCTGTGGTAACCTAATAGTCATGGGCAGCCTGGCTACAAATGCGAGGATTGGTGCAGCAGATCCAACTGGTATCAGCTGCCACCATTGAGAGTAAAACAAACCCAGTCTCCTTAATCCGCAGGCACTCTTGGTCACTTGCGAACAACTGGCCAAGATTCCTAATGGGTACTCTTATGTTGGACTTCTTTGCAGCCCTCTTGTATCTTGAAGAGGCAGCTGTTCACATGCTGCTTTTTCAGAAAGAAAATCTCCAGAGAGCTGAAATTAAACATGCCCAAGAAAAAAAGATACTTCTTTTTTTAGTGTGGTTTGGGAATTCACCCCTGTGAAGTTCCTTTCATTGCTGGTCCTAAGTCAACAGTGACTTAATCTTTTATTTTTTAAAAATGGAGGAACTTTGTCATCAACCATGGTAATTTGATTTTGTGGAGTCTAGGACGAAGAAAGATTGGGGAGACATTTAATACTTTCATTAGATCACAACAGTTTATGGCTGAATCCAAATAACCCAGTGTGGAGAGCCAGTGTGGTGTAGTGGTTAAGACCATGGAACTGGGACTCAGAGGATCTGGGTTCTAGTCCCCGCTCAGCCATGGAGCCAACTGGGTGACTTTGGGCCAGTCACAGACTCTCAGTCCAACCTACCTCACAGGGTTGTTGTTGTGGGGATAAGATGGAGGAGGAGATGTAAGCTGCCTTGAGCCCTTTGTAGGAAAAAGGCAGGATATAAATCAAAAAATAAATAAATAAACCCCATACACACAAAAGTTTCCATCTGTGTTCATGGTCTTCATCAGTTTTCTTTTCTCATTTTGTTACACTCTATCAAGATGAATCCCAAATATTTCCAAAATGCTAGCAATAACTTGTTGGACTGCGCAAGGGCTACAGTTAGGAAAGAAAACCACAAAGCTGTGCTGCATATGGTGATGTTGTTTGGAATCTAGGCTGTCTTTCAATCTGATTATGTCTATCAGATGAGGGTCTGGTTAAAACAACATACCAATAAATAACAGTGTGTGTAGTGAAAGGAAAGGGATAATGTGCTTTCCACTGGGGAAAACGCTCAGCGGCAGAAGTTCACGGACAAACATTTTTACAGAACTGGTGAATTCTTTGAAAGATTGAGAACATCATGACATTCAGCTTTTGAAAAAATGAAGTCCCTGACGTTTAGGAAGGCCCGGAAAATATGAGAAACATGCAGTAGAGAAACTGTCCTTTGCCCTTTAATAGGAAATGAATTCTGAAGTTTTCCTCAGTCTCCTGTAGTTTTCAAGTGACTGCTCAGTAGTCTGGCAAGTTAGAGGCAAGCTGTAGCTACCATTATGCTATCCTTCAAACATCATTAAGGAAATTTCCACCTGTTACAGGCTGTTCCATCTGTGTATCATTTTTGAAGCAAAATTCAGCTTTGAGAATTGATGCTTAGTGATCTGAAACACCGCTTGGAATAAGTTTAGTGGGACCTTTTAAGAAAATATGCAATTGATGAATAAATTAATTGTTTGTGTGTGTGCATATGCCTTAGAATCAGACAACCATAGTTCCAATCTACTATTTTATACTGATTTCTTTCCCTGGTCTTGCCCAAAAATTCTAAAAATGATTCAGACTGTGTGAGGTTTTCCATTTCTCTCCCTTTCTCTTCTCCTCTCTCATTTTCTTAGCTCTCCAGCTCTCGTCTTTCTTATCAACCTGCAGCCCTGGGAGTTGGATCAGCTGACATGGGTTACCCAGTAGTCTTTGCTGGAGGCTTGAGTGCTGCACATCCTCACCAGGTATTCTTAAAGCTTTGAGGCCATTAAATGCATCTCACTGTTCTTTACAAAGCTTGACACATTTCTAGATCCATTCATATCACACTGGTAAAGCAGCTAGGCTTACAGTCGGAAAAGATCATAATTTTACATAAGGATTTGTCTCTATTTCAGATGAAGCCCAAGCAGAATTGGGTCCCTTCAGAGGCAAGACAGGTTTCCCAAGGCAAAGAGGGCTACCCTCTGAAACCACCAGAGGAAGACTTTTTTTTATCAATCTGTGCTTGGAGATACAGGGAATATGCAGACATTATGTCTTATTTCCAAATAGCATTTTTTGTGTTTCATTTTTCTAACAAGGAGGCAGAGGGAGCAAATGATGACAGAGAGGTCCACCTTCTTATCCTAGCATATATTTTATCAGAGGCATCAATCATTGTGCTTGAGGGCAAGGATGGAACCATGAGATGGCCATTTTCCCAACACCACCAAGCTTTATTATTTAAAAAAGCCTTAAACTGCTGATGGTGATACTTGTGTCTGGACAGGTATATATGGAATAGATAAAGAATTTCTGTTTCTCCCATGGGTATGGGAGGCCAACTGGCTGTGGAGATGTGGAAAAGCAGTGTATCCCCAGGTAGGCCAACGGATCTCTTAGCTGGCCTCCTGCTACAGCAAAAGAACTTTATGCAGAATATACTTTCCAAAGGCCCCTCTGCAGAGGCCAAGCAATGTATCTTATAATACCTGGTAAATATATGAAAACAGGACCAGGTGGCCACCCTACAGATCTCATCTAAAGGGACTGTTCCCCAATAGGCCACTGAAATGGTCATGTCCCTAATGGAATGTGCCAGGATATCCCCAGGAACTGTTAGGCCACTGGAGGTATAGATTAGGGTAATGCGTTTGTGCAGCCATCTAGCCAGGGAGGCCACGGATACCTTCATTCATAGGGAGGAAGGTATGAAAGAAATGAATAGAGAGTTGTGCTGTCTATGGAATCTAGTCCTTTCTAGACAAAGTTTCAGTACATACCTAGCATCCAGAGTGTACCACTCATTTTAATGAGGGGAAGATGGTTGTTGGCAGAAGGCTGGGATTGTCAGCTCCTAGTACTCCTATGGATGGCCAAATTGACTTTTGGAATAAAAGATGGATCAGGGCAGAGAAACACCTTATCTTGCTAGAAAACATGCATATCTCTGTCAGAAGAGAGTATCCCTAGTTCTAGTTAAAAAACCCTTCTGGCAGCAGTGATGGCAACTTGGAAGATGGCTTGAGACAGGTGGCACCTAGGGATTCAAGGGGACCTTGATTAGGATCCCAGACACTGTATACAGGTTCCAGGTTGGAATCCTAGGGATTGTGACTAATTAAGGAGACTATCCTCAGGAATATTTTGGCATGTGGATGGGTACCTAAGGGTGGTGCCCCAAAATGGAGCCTACTTGCCTTCTAAGGGTATTGAGTCAAAGACGAGCTGACATGCCCACCTGGAGAAATTCTAGAATGTCCAAGGTACTGGAGCTGTCTCTGTCTGAGGTTTGGGCTCACACTAGGGGCACCTGCCAGGTACAGTTGTGGACTCTCTCGGTAGAATCTCTCCTGGAAGCTAGGAAAATTGTGACTACCTGGGCAGGGAAGTCCCACTTCCTTAGGCCCCTCCTGGGTGGTTAACCTCAAGAAACTTGGGTCTTGATACCTGTTCTTTATCTCTCACTGAGAAGGCAGTAGTGGGTTGGAAGGGTAACTATTGGAAACTGACAGATCAGCATGCCATTATCTTCTTGGCCAGTTGGGGGTGTGTTGAGCTCTTATCCTTCATCAACCTTTGGGATGAAGGGAAGGGGCACGAGGGCATAGAGGAAGCCATGGAAAGTGTCTGAGAATTCAGCTTCCTTTTTCTGGAAACAGGTCGTAAACTAATAAGCTTAGCATTGTGTGGAAAGAATAAGAGGTTGAGGCAGGGGAGATTCAGCTGTTATGTCAATTTATTTTATTTATTTTTTTAGGGAACTTCTATGCTGCCCCATTCACTGAAGCCTTGGGGCGGCTCACAAACATAAATAAATAACATCATATAAAACAATATAATTTAACAGTATAATGCCTTGAAGTCCTCTGGACCACTGTCCCTGGACCCTGGGAGGTCCTACTGATTCAATCAAACATTTCAGTCAATTTGAACATTTAAGACACCCCTGAGATGTTCAGCCCTGATGGACCAGACATGCTTCTGAGCCCAGTGGAACAGCTTCATGGCTTCCTCTTCGAGTGCCTTGATGCAAATTCCCCATTATTTATTTATATATGCCTTGACCACCACATTGTCCCTCTCAACTATAATGTTCCAGCCCTTCAGGAGGTAGAAGAATTGTTGGAGAACCAGGCAGATTTTCAACGATAGCAGATTTACAGACCTAGGATTCTTCCTTGGAGCAGTAGCTCTCTGTGTGTTGACCATGGAAGACAGCTCCCCAAATGATAAGCCAGGTGTCCATCATTAGGAAAATACTTTTTGAATCCAGGAGGGAAATGCCTCCTACCTTGTTGGCCAGCTATAACCACCAGTGTACGGAGAGAAAGACAACTCTCTTGGAAGGATAACCACTGTGTTGAGGTTGATCATGCTCTCCATCTGGAATCTTAGAAGGAAGTTCTGTAAGTCCTGAAGTGGAACCTTGCCTATTGGATGGAATCTGGACTGTTTCCATATTCTGGTATTTCCTCATGACATGTTTTCTGAGCTAGGCTGGGCTGTTTTCCAAATCACTGAATTGAGCTTGAATTTAATCTGTCAACTGGTGCATAGTTTTAACGCTAGCAAAAACTATCTCCATACTGTTTTGGATTTGCATGGGTGAAGTTAAGCAAAAATTAAATGGAATCCAGCTTTATTCACACATACGTAATTACACTGGCACATAGGAAGAGCAAGTGTTTCTCTGTCATCTCTTGGTTAGTTATAGCTGTGAGTCTGCTCTTTATGATGAAGAGTTGAATATTCATTTTCACTAACCATTTCAGAATTATGGAATTTTGACTTCTTCCCTTTGGACTCTTACAACCAAGTCCAAACATTTTACAGAACTGTTGTGAGGTTATTTTGCTTGATTGTGGTTAGAGTGTTGAACTGGGACTGAAGAGACATGGATCCCCCACTCTGCCATGAAAGCTACTTGATGACTTTGAACCAGTCACTGAGCCTGTTTGCATAAGGGTGGGGAAATAAAGCGTGTTAGTTTACTTCCCCCGGTTTGCATTCTGAGAGGATCTACATAATTACTTTTACTTGTGTAGTTTACTGCACAGTGCAAACCCAGTGAGTGTGACTTTGTTGCTACAGTTAATAAACCATCTCAGAACTCACACTGACCCATGGGTCTTGGGTGACTTGTTAAGCATGGCAAGAAGTTTTATACAACACAGCAAGCATCTGAAATACAACCAGTACACATGGGGAAAATAAACCACATTTCTCTCTGTGATTGTATGAATTCAATCACTGACTTTCAATCTAACCTACTTCATGGGATTTTTGTGAGAATAAATAGACAGGGAGTTGATCATTCTGGGCTCCTTGAGGGAAGGCAAGATATAAATGTAACTAACACATTTTTGATGAGAAAGGGAAAGGAGGGATGCCTGGGAAAGGAGGAATTTTATGGATTTTAATTATATTTAGACTACAGTGCAGGTGTGTCTGAATACTGTTTTGAATTGTTTCTATGTCCCTGATGATGAAGTGGGATATAAATTGAACCAAATTAAAGGAAAGACAAACAATTAAGAATATGCCTCACTAGACTTTCTCCAGGCCACAGTCCAAAGATTTCTCTTTTATTTATAGAACAACTTGAAAGCTGAGCATTGTTGTGCTAACCTTATGAGGAGCAATGCAGCTTTGTCACTTAAGAAGTCTGAAGGTTCCCTACCCGCAGGGAGGTTGGCATCAAACACCTTCATGCAAGAAAGCTTGAAAAGGTTCAGCCAAACACAGCAATGGGAAACTCCTGTCTAGCTTTTTCTGACAATTGTTCACTTCCAGTGATCTCTCTCCTTGGCTTCTAACTTCCTGTCTCTCCACCTGTCACTTTCCTATATATTTGACTGTCATCCTTCACAGTGTTGTTTGTCTGGTGGTAGGAAGCCTTCAAAGTTCTTAAGAGCTAAAACCAGGCTCTTTCTTTTGTCACTGTCATATGTAACCCAGCTGCCAGTTACCTTTCATCAATAGTGAAACAATCAAACATTTGAAAATAGCATAAAAACATGATGATAGATGCTGGATCAGACTAAGGGTTCATCTAGTTCACCTGGTGTAGTCTTCTCTTGAACAAATACTAAAATGTTTTATTTGTCATCCCTTTCCACTCCAGTTGGTTGTTCCAGGGAAAGAGGGGGGAGTGCCTGTGGTTCCTAACCAACCAATGCATGGCACTCAGGCTGATCATGAAAGAATGGCAACATGCACCCCTTTGGATGGGGGCCACTACCCTGCAGTTACTCCATCTAGTAGGTAAGTATTCTATTCCTCCATTGTAGCTTATGTTACTACTCTTACTATAAGTTTTAAAAATGAAAATGAGTTTACTTGAATATAAAGTGTTTTCTTACATTAGCCAGTAATTTGGGGAAGAGGAAGCTGAGAAAATCATTAGAGGAGCTTAGCATCTCTAGAAGTGATGCAAATTTTCATAATAAAATACCTCTACACACATAATCAACTGCTGAGTTATTGCATTATTTAACATTAGCCAGAGGTTAATCGTACTCACTTTCACTGTCATTGATGTAGCAATACTTGTATCTAAAGGTTGTTACTGTTTTGTTCTTTGGTGAAGTTACTACTTGTGTCCCAATTGGAAATGAGAGATCTAAAATTATAATCTGGTAACATTGTATTTCTGGCTGTTTTGGTCTGCTTCCTTTTCTGTGCTGTGGATTTTTCATAGCCCTTGTTTGCTTAAGATCTGTTCGTTAAGTAAATCACTCCCAAATGCACTCTCATGTTCACGTGGCACACTGATGTCTAGGTTTCTATTAACATGATACAAACAGAATCTCTGATACGTGGTTCTTGGACTTTATCACAGCAAGGCTTCTCAGATCAAGACAAAAAGTCTAAATAAACTACGTGGTTTGGCAGCTTTGGCCTAATTTGATGTTTAACCTTTTGATTGTGTCAAGATGTCTGTAAAAAAAGAGGTGGGAAAATAGAGAAGGAAAAGAAGCCTTGGGAAGTTTTGGGACTTGTCATGCAACTGCCTGTACTACTTTAGGAAGTTCACTTTATACTCTGAGAAAACTTGATTTAGAAAGTCACAGTGTGATCATTTCCACCCTAAGATACATCATTGGCAACACATACAGAGTTTATTGTTGGTAATAATGAAGTTTTAAAACTATTTACTACTGGTCAACATAACAGTGTTAGTTTAGTTCCTTCGTATGAGCACATTGCAGTTATTTTTAAAATTAAAAAGCTTCTATAAGCTTAGAGGAAATAACCTTGTTTTTATTTGCTTTTGTATGGCATGAATAAATACAATATACAGACCCAGGAACACATCATTCATTAATTTATTTTATTTATTTATTAGAACATTTCTATGCTGCCCCTTGCCGAAGCCTCGGGGCAGCTTACAAACACAATAAAATACAATAAAATACAAAAATAACAATATAAAGTTAAAATTAACAATATAAAATAAATAAAAATATAAAATATAAAAGAAGTCGCCCTGGCCAGATAAATAAGCAAATATTGTTAATAATTAAAATGATGTTTAAATAAAAAGGTCTTCACCTGGCGCCGAAAAACAAGTAACGACGGCACCAGGCGGACCTCTCTGGGGAGCGCATTCCATAGATTGGGCGCCACTGCAGAGAAAGCCCTCCTCCGAGTACCAACCCTCCTAATATCTTTCATGGAGGGTTCCCGGAGAAGGGCCTCTCCCGTAGATCTCAAGGGGCGGTCAGGCATATATGGATGTAAGCGCTCCTTCAGGTAACCAGGACCCAAGCCGTTTAGGGCTTTATAGGTCATAACTAACACCTTGAATTGGGCCCGGACTTCAATGGGAAGCCAGTGAAGCTGACGGAGGACTGGAGTCATGTGAACATAACGCCCCGTCCCCGTCAGCAACCTGGCAGCTCTATTTTGAACCAACTGAAGTATCTGGACCATCTTCAAGGGAAGCCCCACGTAAAGCGCGTTACAGAAGTCAAGGCGGGAAGTCACCAGTGCGTGTGTCACCGTCGCAAGGCAGTCGTACTCCAGGTAGGGGCACAGTTGATTAATCAGCCGAAGCTGAAGGAAAGCGCTCCTCGCCACCGCTGTCACCTGAGCTTCTAATGAAAGCTCCGGGTCGAGGAGTACTCCTAAGCTGCGGACCTTGTCCCTAAGAGGGAGTGCAACCCCATTCAGGACCAGGTCAAATCCACCCTCTCCGAAGCCCAATCCGCCAACCAACAGGACCTCCGTCTTGTCTGGATTGAGCTTCAGTTTATTGGCCCTCATCCAGCCCATTACCTCGGCCAAGCACCGGTTCAGCACAGCCATTGCCTCACCTGGATTAGTGGAAAACGAGAGGTAGAGCTGGGTATCATCAGCGTACTGATGATTCCACAGCCCACACCTCCTGATGACCTCTCCCAGCAGTTTCATGTAGATATTAAACAGCAAAGGGGACAAAATGGAGCCCTGTGGTACTCCATGGCATAGCTGCCATGGCGCAGAGTCATAGTCCCCCAGCACCACCTTCTGGTATCAGCCATTGAGGTAGGAGCGGAACCACTGCAAAGCAGTGCCTCCGACCCCCAATCCCGCTAGCCTATCCAGAAGGATACCATGGTCGATGGTATCGAAAGCCGCTGAGAGGTCCAGAAGAACCAACAGGGACACACTCCCCCTGTCCTTCTCCCTGCACAGGTCATCATACAGGGCGACCAAGGCAGATTCAGTACCGTACCTGGGTCTGAAGCCAGACTGAAATGGGTCCAGATAATCAGTTTCATCCAAGAGTGCTTGGAGTTGTCCCGCCACCACCCGCTCCAACACCTTGCCTAGAAACGGGATGTTGGCCACAGGTCTATAGTTAGTGGCCATCTCTGGATCCAGTGACGCTTTCTTCAGGACCAGTCGGACTACCACCTCCTTTAAAGGGGCAGGCACCCGACCCTCCCTCAGAGAAGCGTTAACCACTTCCAAGATCCAGGTCCCAGTCCCGTGCTTGGAATTATTTATTAACCAAGACGGGCAAGGGTCCAATAGGCAAGTGGTGGGACGTACTCGTCCAAGCACCTTGTCCACATCATCGGGCTGCAATAACTGAAATTCATCCAATAATGCTGGACCAGACGGCAGCATTCGCGTCTCCCCAGAAACCTCTGATTCATTAGTGGTGTCCAGCTCGTGACGAATCTGAGCGATTTTCTCCCTGAAATGTCTGGCAAAGTCGTCACAGCGGGCCTTTGAGGGTGGAACCGGATCTTCCTTATGACCCGGGTGAACCAGGCCTTGCACCACTCGAAAAAGCTCTGCCGGACGGCATTGTGAGGAGGCAATGGAAGCGGAAAAAACTTCTTTTTCGCCGCCTTCACTGCCACAGCATAGGCCCGATAGTGGGCTCTCAAGTGTGTTCAGTCAGATTCATCCCGTGATTTCCTCCACCTATGCTCTAGCCGTCTCCCAGCCTGCTTCATCGCCCGTAATTCAGGTGTATACCAAGGGGAAGAGCGGGCTCTGCCTGGTGGGAGAGGACGCTTAGGAGCGATCGTGTCCACAGCCCTGGTCATCTCCCTGTTCCATAGTTCGACCAGAGCCTCAACAGGAGCACCAGTCTTGTCAGCCGGAAACTCCCCCAGGGCTTTCAGGAATCCATCCGGATCCATCCGGCTCCGGGGGCGGACCCACACCATCGGATCCACACCCTTACAGAGGGAGAGGCCGCTCTCGAGCACAAACCTCACCAGGAAGTGATCTGACCATGACAGGGGAATCAAACATAAATTCCTCACCCTCAGGTCACCCTCTTCCTGCCCCGTTGAGAAAACCAGGTCCAGAGTGTTTATTAATGTATCCTGAATGGTGAAAGATAACTAATTATAATAAAGAAATACAAATCCTTCCTACAAGGCAGCTTCAAGTAACCTCAAATAAATTTTTGAAAAGCCATAGTTATGATTAGTGATTATTTAAAGATTTTTAACCTGCCTTTAAGCCAATAAAGTTTCTCAAGGTGATTTATGGGGATTTGTAGGACATGTATATTCTTTTTGGTGTCAGGTTAAAACATTTTTATTTAATCGTCATTTTTAAAAATTAGCATTTTTAGTGATTCACAGATGCTTTTGATTTAATTTATTTGTATTGGTTTATAGTAATTTTATTATACTGTTTTATCAATTGTTTTTATGGCTACTGGTTTTTAATCTTGTAAGCCATCCTGAGACATAATAGTGAAGGATGCCATATAAATTTTTAAATAAACAACTCACAGGTTATTAATCCATGCCTTACTGGCACTGGACGTGACCATACTGCTTCCTGCATGCTCACTGCATTCATTACATGCCATGTTTTGTTGTTAGGTGGAAACGCTGGGTAATTTTACCCTCAGCAACCAAGACTGCTGGGACTGGATGCCACAGCAAACATCCTAGGAATGGAACTAAGTTGGATGCATAGTGTAATTCTTGGGAGACAGCATTCTCACTCTTGCACAGCCCCAGTCAGCTATGGGTTAATTAGAGTATGATTGGTTAACGTCTATCCCTTCAGGTTTATAGTCTGAATTTAACTGTGGTGTAAGCTGGCAGTAAAGACAGAATAATAATGAATATAAAAATAGTAATATTGATAAAGAATATACACTGATACAGTAGTAATTCACTCCAGCACTAGCATACAGTCAGAACACCAAATTAAACAACCTGTCTCTACTCTCATCTCTCAGTGATGACACAGAAACAGTATCTAACAGCAGTGAAGGAAAGAGTGGGTCCCCACACGATCTCTTGGAGACCATCTTCGTCCGGAAGGTGGGGGCCTTTGTGAACAAACCCATCAACCAGGTAATTTAAGTCCATTGTTCCGCCAAGGCTTTGTGGGGTGCTATATCTTCAGGGAAGAAAAGGGCGTAAGGGATTTATTTAACATGGAAGGCAAAAAACAGTGGGCCATGCTGGCTGTAATCTGCATAACCTTATACTGTGTTCAGATTTCTCTGATTTCTGAAGTTGAAATGACTGGTTTCAAGGTCCCTAGCCTAGAATTGCAGTGGCATGTTGCATCCTAGACAGAAAGAGAACATTCAGTTATGATGGTTGAAATTCTATCTTTTGAAACTCTTTAGGTGACAATGGCCAGTTTGGACATTCCTTTTGTTATGTTTGATCCCAAGCACTTTGAACTGGAAGATAATGACCCCATGGTAAGCAGTGCTAACACTTCTCAGTTCTGTCTCCCCTCCTCCACCGAATTTTCTGATCTCTTAGCATGTCTGTGATTTCTAACTAAAAAACTAAGTTCTCACATCTGCTTAACTTCCTTATGCCATCACTTGATAATGCTGATGTGACTTATTAATTTCTTCAATAGGTGAATCCTCCTGATTCTCCAGAAGTTGAGTCTCCCCTCCAAGGCAGCTTACACTCAGTGGGCTCTAGTGGCAGCAGCAGTGGGAACATCCATGATGATTTTGTTTTAGTAGATTTTGTAAGTCCACAAAAACTCATAAAATCTTTCTGAAAAAGTGACAGTGTCTGAGGCAGAATCAAAATGCTAAATTGATAATGAATGCTGATGAAATTCTTTGAACAAAGATGTCTTTATTGAACTGATATGGGATCAATATCTGCACATTCCTTTAACAAAACCTGAAATACAGTGATATGCCCCCCAAAATATTGAGAGTCTGAGCTAGAAAGAAGGAAGAAGTCCAGAGCAGCTGTTGTAACTTGCAGCACTACAATTCAAAGCTGTCTGTTAGACTTCTACCTGAAAGTATTGCCACCAAATTTATTTCCACAGATGATCTCCCTTTACATAAATTACAGTGTGGCACAAGCAAAGAGCATCATTTGAGAACATACTTGACAATAGGGATATGCACACAGTTCAGAGAAAAGTCTAACTGATCTGTAAGAGAAAAATGAAACTGATATTCAGTTATATGCTGTTCACTAGATGAGAAAAATGACATGTATTTCTAGTGGGTAATCACTTGATTTTTATTTAAAACTATTTTGTAACATCCTTGGTCAGATCAGATTTCAGCATTGTATATACCATATGTTACAAAAAGAACAATGTGTTATCTGTGTGGAGCTGATTGACATTTCTCCTTTTAATTCTAGAAACCAGCATTTTCTAAAGATGACATCCTCCCAATGGATTTGGGGACCTTCTACCGTGAATTCCAGAATCCTCCTCAGCTCAGTAGCCTTTCTATTGATATTGGGGCGCAATCCATGGCAGAAGATCTGGTATGTGAACATGGAATTTCCATTTGTAAGGAAAATGGCACTCCCTGCCATACCCAGTTTATCTGAAGGAACCTCATTTGAGAGCATATTTTAATATATTAGAGCTGTGATAGGTTAGTAAAGGGACTACTGCCTGAACGACGAAATCCCCAGTTCAGCTCTTGTCTCATACAGGTGCCATGGAAGTAGGAGTCCGTACGGCAAGCTACTCTCTCTCATCCTCATTACCCCCCACCATCCCACACACAGAGTATGGAAATAATAATTTGACCCACCTTACAGGGTTGTTGTGATTCTTGAGATAACCAGTATGTGTCATACGTTAAACACTTTGAAGCACTACATAAAAATACTATGAATTGTTATCACTGTTTCTATGCCAAAACATTTTTGATTGAGGCAGAAACAGAATTAGTACAGGATAATTTTGTGTCATATGCCAGCAACAGCTGCTAAGGACATTTTAGACTTGGCTGTTAACTTGCAAAGTGTTTCTTCATTCTGCTTTAGAAACATCATACACCCCAGATACCGTATAGCTGCAAGACTTCCCTTCAGCCCAAGAGGTTTGGCCTCTTGAAAGTCAGATTTCTAACCTTCTGGACAGGAAGAAGCTGTTAGTTTGCATTCCATCTTGATAACTGACAAGTTCATAGCCCTGGTTTTCTCAGACAGTAAAGGTTTTCCAGATTATTGGCTCATAGAATATAATACAGAGCTGTTGTTCACTTGTGCAGGATCCAATAATCTTTTCACAAAGAATCATTCTGCACAGTGCTTTTCTAGGACACAAACCACAATATTTTAATCTTACTAAAATGCTAATCTTTTCCCAGCTAGCAAACGACATTGCATTTTAGAATGCTGTCTAGGAAATGGTTGCATGAATATCACAGATGGAACACAATTTGAACCTCACCTCTACTTCTGCATGTCAGTGCCATGTTAAGTCCCTTTCAACAATACTCAGGCTGGAAGGGACTTAGAGGGGATTTCTAAAACTGATTAGTTTCAAGAGAATACTGGTAGAGAAACTTCTTGTCAAGTTCATGGACTTCAAACTTGAGCTGGGCTCACTGCAGAGGGTGACATGGACAGCTGCTTCTCCATGTTTGTGCTGCAACTTAGCTTTTACTTAGCTTAGCTTCTGATTTTTCTCTCCTTTGTTAACTCTGCCAGTTGTACCCTTGTGATTTCTTTCTGTTCATAATATTGCAAAAAAAATCCGTTTCTCTCTGTACCCTCAGCTAAAACCAGTGTGAGAGATGACCTGGCTTTGATCATCACCCACATTAACTATTGCATCCTTTTTCTCAGGTCCAGTTCTGGCCAAAAGCCAGAGGAGGGGTATTGCCTTTCATTTCTGGCAATACCCCTCCTCAGATCTCGACTGATTTTTTCATCCCCTTCCATATCCAGTCCAAATGCCTTTTCATTGCCTAATCTTTTTGGCACAGCTTTTCATTATATCCTTGCTTGTTTTCTCCAAATGTATCATCCCCAAGTCACCCTGCCTCACGAAAATACCCGGCAACTTGTCACGGCTCCATCTGTTCTCCTTGGCTTCTACCTATGCAGAAACATATGCATGGAGCCCCTAGACTCTTGTATGCTCACATGTTCCTCTCCCTCCTTTTGTTGCACACAAAGTGGGCATGACGTGAGCGGAGCCAGCTGGAGCCAGGGGTCAGACTAGATGGCCCGGGAAGCCCCTTCTGACTCACTCTGTTTCTGTTTTCTTCATAATTTTAGGTTGTAAGCTTTCTGGGGTAAGCACCTCCTTATCTTGCCTTGGATAAGTATCATGTGAAAGAAGGCACTATAAAAATATATTGGGATTTTAAATTTCCCCTGCAATCTTTTTTCCTTTAAATGTTGGCATATTTTGCCTTGCAATGGAGGACAAACTGGGGTGGTGGAGCGGGGGGTGCAAGACAGGACATTTTTGGCTTTGAACAGGACTATCCATTTGAGGTTAAAGCACCCTAGAGGAATGAATCAAATGGATTTTCTGGACAAGAACTGAGAATCAACATGGGTAGAATAGTCACAGTTTGAAGATAAATAGCTAACCCAATGAATAAAAAGTTGAGCAAAATGTCTGCCTTGTTCCAATTTTAAATGCTGGTGTAAAATGAGAAAAAAAAGACACTTGGTTACAGTAATTGAGCACATTATACAAAGTCATGTGTCTTTTATTACTTTTCTCATTTGGTAAGAGTTTGCCATATGATCCTAAGCTGAAGGAAGGATGTGATTTTCCTGGGTGATGAGAAACCACAGATTGGTTAGTAGCGCACATCTCTGTTCAGCTGAATCCCTTCACATTTTTGCTACAAAAACAGAATTCTTATGCTTCCTAAATTTGCCTCAGGAAGGCTAAACCTCTGTCTTCCAAAACCATAGTAATATCATACTTCAAGTCAGGTAAAACAGGCACTGTAGCACTGTTGCCAAAATCAGAATAGGATTCATATTGATACCTGCAGCAATCTAGCTTAAACACATTGGTTTGATTTGAACATAACAACCAAGATTATGAGTTGTTGACAAATCCAGGGTTCACTCACAGTTTGTCCAGGAGAAATTCATACAAGTGCAGGTTGTTTTTTTCAATTCTAAGTTGTTTGATACGTTCATTATTTGCCCTCCATTTTTGTATGTCAGATGCCTTTGCAGGACTGTAGTATTGGCATTCAGAACAGCTGATTTTTTAACCACTCTTTGCCACCTCCTTCAGCATAGCAAACCAACTCATGGTTCTGGGTTTGCATGAAATGACAATCCATACTGAAAGCAACCCAAATGTCACAACCCAGCAACATCTTGTCTGGATTGTTTGAGGCTCACAATCCATAGTTTCCGGTTTGCATGTTAACAACATCGCAGGATTTAACAGCACATACCCTGGCTTACCGTTACATATTCCTAACCATGCAGAAAAGGCAAGGATCGTAGACCAGCATATTTGCTTTAGTGCTAGTGATCTCATGCTACTCCTTCAGCTTTCTCAGGACAGAGATCTCTTTTTCAATTTATTTCTTTCTGAGCTGCATCAGAATTAAAGGTCTTTATTCCTCATCTTACTGTTTTTCCCTATCTGTCACTTATCAGCAGGCTGACAGTCTGCAGCAGCTGTCCCTAGAAACTTCAGCGACAAAGCTCTCCTGCTCCTGTTGCTCCTTTTCTCTCTTGCACATCTCCAGAAGCAACCTCGGCTAAATTATATTTTATATATAGTATTTTGTGCCTTTCTGAGACAGCTCTGCAAACAAGGCTTGGAGGTTGGGAGCATTACATGGATTCATAGAAATAGTGTTCTAAATTCATTTGTGGTTCAGAGCTACCTTTAGATCAGCCTGATATAGCTGTTGGAATGTTTATTTGTCTTTACAGGATTCGCTGCCGGAGAAACTGGCTGTCCATGAGAAAAACGTCAAAGAATTTGATGCCTTTGTAGAGACTTTACAGTAAAGCTGAGCCCTCTCGACTTCAACATTGTACTTCCTCTTTGACGTCTGGGGGGAAAAGCCCATCCATTCTGCCTTCCCTTAGTGTTGTGTCTAACACCACCACCCCATGTAGTAGGCTCTGATCGCTTCACTCTATCAGATGCAGAAACAGTGGTGTATATTTCTTTGAACTTAGCTTTGGAATGGATGTAACTCAATTTCCTTCCTGTCTGGAGTTCGTATTAGGAAACAAGATCAACCTATCCCTCTATTTTCTCATCTGATTTGAGAGACGTTGCTTTTGCTTTCTCTGTCAACATGATACTAAGAACTGGTTTCAGTTCAGAAGTCTTTCCAAGTTGAATCTTCAATACTATCAAGCCAGAAGAACTTTGAATATAATCATCTTGCAAGTATTGGTTAAATTCTGCTAGTATCACTTCAGACTGCAGAATTGGCCTCTCTTTAGCAAGTGCAACTAGCATATTAAGGGGCCAATGATTGCCTTTAGTGCCCTAAACAAGACAAACAGTATCACAGATCTATGTATGGGAAATAAGTGAAGGTCCAGTTAAGAATTAATCCACAGAAGCTAAAAAAAAAACATGCTTTTCTTATAACAGCTGCCAACAGAAAGCATGTGAAAACATTACCTCCCCAAGGCCACAAGTCTGTGGCATTTGGAGATGATTCAGAGTTTATAGGCTCTGCTTACTACCAGTAGCTGTAAATAGGAATTAGGAATCCTAATTCTCTAGAGTTATTTAATTAGAGGTCTTTAGTCCAAAGTATCTCCTTCAGATGTTGCTGCTCTATAAGAAGATAAACAAGAAATATTTATTACTCTAAAAGAAACCTATATTTAAAGAAAAATGGTATGTGATGTTTTCACTTTATTATGCAGTGATACAAGTTGCTCTGTCATTTGTCATTGGAATGGTTCTGTACCAAACAACTCTGTTCCCCCCCCCCCCGGTCTTAGCCACAACATTATGCAGGGTAAACCCTAAAAACAGTTATTCTAGGAAAGTGATCTTTTCTGGGGACTGAGTTAATCTCCATTCTGTCCTGTTGGGATCCTTGAATGTCATAAATGCACATGTGGTACAATGAACATGTAGAGAGTTTTTAAAAAGCTGGGATGTTCTGACAGGCCTGTAAATTAAACTTGCTGTGATCTCCAGTCAGTTAGTATATTAATCACAGCAGCACACTTTTCAGAAGTCTGTGCTATTTTTTTTTTAAATCAGCTAGGCCTTGATTGGCTAAAAGTTTATTTTTGTAATGAGCTGGTCATTAAGCAATGGCATTGGCTGGCATTGCTCTGTGTTTCATCTGTCTGAACTCTGTCCTTCACCAAATATGGGAAAGGAAAGCAACAAGACACTAAGCATGAGTTCAAGGATTAGTTGGACTCTGGGTATAACTCCTTCATGCTTGCTATCAAATACTGGGCCCGAAGCTTCATCTGTGCAAACTTTCTTGGGAGTAAGTGTAATTCTTTGGAACTTGTGTCTTAAGTGATCATATTTAGGCTTGCAATATAAGATGCAAAGTACATTTCTTATCCCCTCCATACCCCTGCCTGTTATCTTTGACACTTTTGATTGCCTTTTAGACTTGAAAGACCTCCAGTTTCCTGTTTCAGATAATGAGATGTGAATTTCCTGCATCTCACACCTCCTTTCTTTAAGCTGAAGGGAAGCTGTGTGTGTGTGTGTGTGTGTGTAAGGGGGGAATCTATAAAAAAGTAACAGCAGTTGCCTAACCATGTAGCCTCTGGAGCTAAGAGATGGTTGCTGCATAAAAACAAGTTGGAGGTTAAATTTCTGGCCTTCTAGCACATTTATGCTTTGCATTACTAACTGAAATTGTGAGATTTTATGTAGACTCAAAAATAGCATTTCAAATTCTGTGCAAATCTGTTATATGCCATTGGTCTCTGAAAAACATAATCACTATTAGGTAGTTTTCTGACAGAAGTGATATTGCCATCAAAACTACCCCAAAAGCCTTCTAGAGAATCTATCAGAGTAATGCCAAAATCTTTTGTGACATCTACCTGCTCTCAGGCATTATTCCCAAACCATTTATTATTCTAACTAGCCTGGAATGTGATAAGGAACTGGTATTCATTGTGTTACCCATGAAGTATCAAACGATTTGTCAAGTACCAGTTAGTGACTGTACTTACGCTTTGCTGGCCCTCCTTGTTTAAACAAATTAGTATACAACAATGCTACATAAAACTGTGTTCGGAGAAATGACTGAATGGATCAGCCTGCTGCTTTCTGGTAAGTAATTTGCTTGCAGAAGTCCTGCTCCTGCTGTGATGATTAAGTGATGTTCCCCTCTGCCAACCATTTGTAGAGCTTATTGCACACATTCCTATTGATGAGTCTTTCAGTATTTCAGTTCTTACCTTCCCACTGAAGTGCTATAATGCTTAAGGGAAGAGAGCTACAGCTTGTCCAGATTGTCTGCTGTCTGTACAATCTTTGACCAAGGTCACAACTTCTGCATTGAGAAACAAAACCACCATGTAGGTACTGCTGATGGTATTAATTTACAAAGAATAGTGAATGTACACAACTGTTGGGTTTTTCTTCTGCATAATATTTTCTGTCTGAGTTTGAGTCTTAGAACTTTATTTTAAAAATACTCCTTAATTACTCCTTAAGTTCTACCTTAATTTATTAGCCATGTTGAGTCCCACAATGGGAGAATCACCTGTTGCAGACTTTCAAAGAATGCTATCTGATTGATCACCTAAAGACAGAATACTTACTAAACATTTCTACAACTCACACTGGCAACTTACACACGCTTTGGATGAAAGGAGAAGGGTCCTGAATTACATTTATTCAGTAATGATTTTCAGAATACTTCAACATGTATTCATATAATTTCAAATAAAACTTAGCTTACTCTTAATTCAGCTGTCATCCAGAGTTCTCAGTTCACTTTGTGTATGCCAAATCACTATATTTCTTACTGAAAAGTCAGATTGTAATGGGATAAATGGTACAACGGCTAAAAGGTGATACCAACTATTAAGCTATCAATTCAATGTACTACTTTTATGTGTCACCTGTTTGCAGTATACTGCTACATATGCTTACTCAGGAGTATGTTCTTGTAAGTCCAGTGGGACACAAAAGCAAACATATTTAGGACTACAGCCATAGCACCTTAAATGCTGAAGTTACCATTAGAGGGCAACATATGTTATGTTTTGAACTACAACACTGTTTAAGCAAAAGCTTTTCCTAGAAGCAAATATAAAACTGAAGCTATCATACTTTGGACACATCATGAGAAGGGAAGACTCACTGGAGAAGAATCATGTTAGGGAAATACAAAGGCAGAAAAAGGAAGACCAAATAAGAGAGGGATTGACTCAATTATGGAAGCCACAGCCTTGAATTTAGAACAGCTAAGCCATGATGTCATGGATAGACCCTTTTGGAGGGCTTTCATTCATAGGATTGCCGATGACTTGCTGGCACATAACAACAAATATACCCCTATACCAGGAAGGGACTTCAGAAATTTGCTAATGAAGCCAACATTCAAATTGGAAGCCCAAGTACCTTTAGCAGACTGTATGTATGACAAGACTGTACATCAGGGGTCTCAAACTCAACTTACCTGGGGGCCGCTGGAAGTAGAGTCTGGGTGAGGCTGGGCCGCAGCAAGTATTCCACCACCACGGTGGTGATGGGCTGCTCATCCCACGGCCGGCCCAGGCACCGTTGGCGCTTTGAAGGCCGCAGGCCCCCTCCCCCATGCCCTGCCCGTCCCGGCAATTGGCCCGGGGGCCGCGAGTTTGAGACCCCTGCTGTATATATTCTCACCCATTTCAAACTTTTAATCCACTATAAAGTGAATACCAAAGTACCACAGAAAATTGTGTTCGAGAGCTGCAGGCATTTGTGCAAACACTTTATTATGGCCTCACAATTCCATACGTACAGGGGAGTTTATTTACAGGCTAGTGTGGTCAACGTCTGAAATAAGGCTTATTTGGTATCACTCAGGTTACATGAATGAGTGAAGTACAGGGTCTTACTCATGTACTGTTGAAATAAGGCACTTTATTTATTTATTTAGGAGACTTCTATGCCGCCCCATTCGCCGAAGCCTCCGGGCGGCTCACATCCATAAATAAAGTTCCTTAAAATAATATAAATTAACAGTATAAATTAAGTCACCCTGGCCAAAGAACAAAATGAATAAATACTATTAACAAAATAACATTTGAATAAAAAGGTCTTCGCCTGGTGCTGAAAAACGACAACGGCGCCAGGCGGACCTCTCTGGGGAGCGCATTCCATAGATTGGACGCCACTGCAGAGAAAGCCCTCCTCCGAGTACTCACCCTCCTAATATCCTTCACGGAGGGTTCCCGGAGAAGGGCCTCTCCCGCAGATCTCAAGGGGCGGGCGGGCGGGCATATATGGACATTACAACTAAATTGTTCCATTAATTTCAGTGGACTTAAATATCCTGCTTTTATGCAGCAAATATACTAAGTAGTAGTAACACAACTCTTAGGTATAAAGTCAGAATTAGAATCATTATCAACCAGCCTCAAGACCACCTCTTGGTTACCTTTATAGGTGGACTATGTATCATTCCTTGTTAAGAGCAATTAGTGGGGTTATGACCTACCAAGGACTCAACCCAGCCCCAGCTGGGTTTTAGCAACAGTGTGACCACATTTTTACTGTCATTAGTTTAAAGATGTTGCTTTATGAAAGGGAAAGAGATAAAAGTGGGAAGGACACTCTAAGGAACACAAAAATACTCAATACATCTTATGTTCATTGGAAATTAAATTTAATCCTGCTCAAAAAACAAGAGCTGCAGAGTATATTCAGACATTTTTTCATATTTGACATAAGCATCTGACCCATGCCAAGATCTTTGCATGGTATAACAATTTCTATTTCCTATATCCTTATCACTCTCTCTTTCTCATATACATATTTTTTTAAAGGGCGCACTAGATCCCCATTACTGAGAGGCCCACCCAAGATCTGTGGCTTTTATGCAAGTATGTATAATTTTATACTGGCTTTCTTTCTGTTCTGGGAAGAGGCAATATTTCCAAATTACTATTTTTATCTTTACAAGAGTGGTGTGATCCCATATTGCAAATTAACTTTATGACTAGTGTACTTAGCTGCAAGTCTGAGCCTAGCTGGATTAGAGAGAACAGGTTTTTTAGAGCTTTATTACTGCATTGCGTTTGTATTTCACCTTTTTTTTTCTTGCAAGGAACAAAGGCCTCTTACATAGCCCCCCTCCATTTTATTCTGTCCTCACAAGAAGAATCCTGTGAGGTGGATTAGACTGAGAGTGAGCTTCATGGCTGAGCAGGGACTAGATCTCCCCAGTCCAGTGCTCTTAACCACCACACCACACTGGGCTTGATACAGAACTGGCAGCTTGCGAGTCATGTATCAATCCAGTTTGTGTTCTCCCACCCATTCTTGTGCCCGGGGGACATGAATCTGACAAGCAGCCTTCTTTACCCAAGTAAGGACATTCTTTCATGATACATGGAGAGAGGGCTTATTCAATTCTACTTCTATGCCACTCCATAACCCAAGGGTTCTCTGGCAGCTTACAAATGTATATACCACACACTTGAGAAACTGGATCCTCCCCTCAACCAAACTTGCTTGCTGGAGGTAGAATGGCACCATTGCCAGGGTCAACTGTCAAGAGCCCAAGCTTAGAAGTGTCAGAAAGCCAATGGTGAATAGGAAGCTGCACTCCCTGCCTCCGGGGTGGCATCTACCATACATTGAACAGAGAAAGAATGGCTGCATGTAGTTTGCTTTGTCTTTTCACTGTCAAAAAGAACCCCTACAAGGAACGCATAACCAAGAAATAAGGCTCAAATTTGCTCTTTTAGTCCTCCATCTCTCTTCCTTTTCCTCGTGTCATATCTTTATCTTGTACACCTGACAGTTCTGCTGGCACCACTGGCTAAAATTAGTGCCGGTCCTACATAGTTGTTTACTGACTTACATCTTCTAGATCAGTTGAGCGTCCTTCAGTTTCTCCAAGCTCACTCCTAGGAAATTTCCAGACTGGAAATTACTGTGGGTGGCCACTAATGCAGCAGTGCTAGAGGAGCAGTTGCATTTCTCTGTGCCAACAGTCCTGTGCAGCACACGCCACCCCCATGGGATCAGAGTGTGCTATGTGAAGCCCAAGTTCTTGCTGAGTGGAAAAAAACAACCTGGACAGAGCAATGACGCAAGGACCTGGTAGGGGTCAGTTCAACTTCCCATAAGATACAGTTCTTCACCTCTGTACTAGATAGCAAGAGGGACTGGTTATTATTAAACTGATTAGTTCCAAACAAGTTGGAGAAATACACCAAGATCTGATATTGGCTTTGGGTCTTTATTGAAGTACAAAAAGTGCAAACTGTGAAATACAAGATTGGTACCATTAGAAGGAAATAAACATGGGTGTGTAAATTAATGTCACAGTAAAAACCCCAGCCCTGCTCCCAATAAACATCAGTGATAAGAATGAAAAATACAGAGGATAACAACAAAAAGCTAAGCTATAATCTGTGCATAAGGACCCTAGAAACAGAGCAAGCGACCGGGGCCATTTGGCCATGAAAGATCTCTGCTGTGTCAGCAAAGAGTTTTCCTAAGGCATCCTCAGCTGCATCACCCAAAACCTCAGTATGAATACAGGACTGCCTGTTGCAGCTGAGGGCACAGAATGTGTCCAAAGGGTTCCAAGACACCAATAGACATTATCAGGCAAGCAAGGGATAAGTGGAGATGAAACACTCCACTGAAGCACTGTGGTCAATATTTAACCTAGAAGCCAAGCAGCAAGGGGGCCTTAGAACTAACACTGGAGGGGCATCGAAGGACAAACTGTGAAGCCATGACCAACCGGATATCAGCCTCTTAAAAGAGGAGGCAAGCAGATAACTGGTCCCATGACACGGTGGTACTCTAGTGATTCCGATGGCTTATTTAGAGGCCTGCCACCCTAATTCTGACAGCGCACACTAGTGATCAAAATCTGAACGGGAATGTAGTGCAAAGCTAACTGGCACAGGCCCAGACCCACACACCACTCTTAAAAGTACAGTCAGGTCCAGCATGCTGCCCCACAGACCAGCCACAGTGATGATAGTTTTGAAAATGGCAGAACAAAAATAATGAGGCAAAGCAATCATATGTTCCAGACATCCTGGCAGCTCTAGCAAGGTAAAGAAAGCAATGGAGATATTTACACTGGCTCACTTTGAGGGTTTTGCGAGTGCACTTTTTGTGAGCGTAGTTCCTAGTAATACAGAGTTTTGCAATCTGACATTAGAAAAAAATACACAGGATTTTAAAGTGTGTGAAATTTATAAAAGCTTAACTGTGTAGCCATGGCAACATAACCCGAAACATTCCGCTTACTACCTGCCTGACCTCCGACTTGATTCTAGAACTGCACCAGCCTTGTTCTTAATCCTCAAAGTAGTCCAGGAATTAGTGTTTGAGGGTAGCAGCTGAACCTGCAGACCTGAGTACTCAGGTACCTGGGCCTTTACTTTTCCAGTCTCTATTCAGAACCTAGGCTCTATTCACCATGGCACATCACAAAACAGGAACTAGGCAGTGGTTGTCAGCAAGGGCTCATAGATTTCTGAAATGTGAAGGTTCATTGATCAGCCACTCATTGAACCATGCCAAAGTTGCATTCTACGCAAAAAACAACAGAAGGCAAGGGCTCACGACACCCACCACTTTTCACTTCCTCAGTTAGCATCCTTGGTGAAAGGTTCTCCTGACTCAGCTGAACAGGACATCAGAATTTCAGGATTCCAAACTCCCTAATGCAGTAAAAGTTTCTATTCTGTCAGATTTACCACTGTATACAATACAGACTATACAGGATGATGAGCTTCCTCTAATTTGCTCACCATTCCCTCATTTTTAACCATTTGCCATCCCCAGGCATCTCTGGTTTTGGATTCCTTCCACATCCTGCCACAAGAATGGCTAGAGCCAGTTGAATGGGCATGGCTGAGCTGTGGCCATGGATCATCTCAGTCCACTTGCTGGTATCTATTGACCATTTGTCACATCAAACCAAGGGCCTTTATTCAGTTTTTTTTAAATAGTAGCCCATTATGCATCTACACAAGTGTTTTGGTACAGATTCTGGACAGGTGTAAAAACCACTGCTGACCTTTTTATAACGCTAAACCTGTTTTTTTACAGGATCAATTTGTGCTAGATACAGGTTAAAAAGCCATAAGAAGACAGCCGGCAGTAAGATATCCTTTACAGTTCTATTTAAAAGCAAAAACTGCTGCAGATCCAGTAGGAAACTGCTATTTTATAAAAACAATATTGGCTTAGAACATCTGTGCTTGGAGAATGGCTGAGCCTGGTTTAGAGCCCAAACTGGCTCAATTCCCTGGTCTGAAAGGGGAACAGTTCAGTTGGGCAAGAAACTAGCTATACTGAAGGGCTACGCATGTCATACCACCATGTACTGAATGAACAGTACATGAAAGCCATTCTGGCAATATTAGAGAACTACATCTGAGCCCAACAAGGACTCAAAGATAGATTGTTTGAATGAGAAAGCTCACCCTCCCCCAATTTTGGCACAAGAGAGTCCAGTATATAGGGCAGGGTGATTTCTGTATAAGATTTGGTCTCAGTGACCAGCCTTTTGCCTAAGAAAAGTAACCCCAGTGGCTGCAACAAGGGAAACAGATGCTGGTCATCATGTACAGTGCCTGTGCTTCAGTCATAGGAATTGGCAGTGGCAAATCTGCATTGACAGTTCGGGGAGCTAATGCCACCAGGGCAGACATCCCCTGCAAAATGCCTAGAAACTTGTGAGTCAGGAGGAAGCCCCCTCCCCCTGCCAAACCAAACAGTCACATTTCCAATTAGGAGAGAAAGGCAAGGCTAGTTTGGGAGAGAAATTCTGCTGGCAGGTAGTCTCCTGCAGGAGAACACTACAGATAAGCGGGTTCCATAATATTGGAAGGAGATAATTCTACTGTATAGGGAAATTTTAAGAACACCTACAGTATGTGCCAGAGCTCCCTGAAATGTACAAATAGCTTTGTAGGCACTGTTAAGAAAAGTTGAGTGCTCTCAGAACAGTGCAATCTTCTCTTACAACATAACTTTGTCCTAAGCTTGCAAATCCATTCTTCATCAGTCTTCCAAGAGAAATGCTCAGGCATGCCTGACTTGTCTACATATGGAGACCAAACACAGTCCAGAGAAGAGAAACTAAAGTAGATTCCCTTCTGCAAAAGCATCACCAAAGCAACATGTATTAGTTCAGATCACACAGGTATCAATAGGTGGGAATTCTACCAGGATCCAAGGAGAGCCATTTGATGGGATCAACTCAGCAAAAGAAGGGAACTTAAGCAGTTAAGAGCAGCTTGGTCACTAACTACCAAGAAAGACAGGACAGCCAAGGCATTTTTAGAGATGAGAAAGCCTGCTTCCCACCTCACATGATCCCCCCTCCCCCCACACACGCGCACCTACAACATCCTCAAGCCCTCTCACTCTGCTCATCACCTGGAGCTTCCCCAGACTTGGCCACAGCTCTGTAACAAGACAGAAAGGAAAATGGGGATGCAGAAAGAGAGGGGAGGAAGTGGTCACAGTGGACACAGGGTATGCGAGTACAGGCAGGCTCGAGATCAAGCCTCCACATTCTGGAAAAGCTCCCTCTGGTTGTCCAGTAGGAACTTCGTGAAGGTGTTGATAGGATTGATGGCTTTGAGGGTTATGGCTGCATCTTTGGCCCACAGCAGGTTTGGGCCAAAAACAACTGCAAGGTTTGTGTTGGTCATCTTGTTGATTTCACTGTTAGCAGCAACCTACATGCATTGGAAAGAGAAGAAAGAAAAGACCCCATTACTCCAAAGTCAAACAGGTTTTTGATGCTGTCCTTCCCAGTTAATCACTATCCACTGAACTCTGTTTCCTCTATTAAAAAACTGATTATATCCTGACAGCACAAAAGCAGATCCCAAGTAAGCCACACATAAGAGTAGCCCTGAAGATGTTGATGGAATATGGAGACAAGAATTCTTGTTATTTCACAGGTTAGAAAACATACCTTACAACCTTTTTCTTCTTCTGTTTAGTGGCATGAACCTACCTTTCACCTACTCCTTGACTTATCATTTAGTTCCAAGATTTTGGAAAGCAAAATAACTAATATGATACAGCAAGCACTGTGAGAATCTTGCCCTGTTTCTTTCTCCTGGCAGGGGAAGGCATTCAGGATAATAAGAAAAGCCTTCTAAAAGGAGACAGTTGACTTTATAGTATGACAGCACATGGTATAACAGCACACCATGGGTTACTTAACTCATGATGAGGCCGACATACATATCAGGCACATACAGCAGTCATTCTGAAGGTAAACCATTGCTTTAAGGTTATCATGTCATTTCATAGGCTTTAAATGCATTCATATATCATATCATATATCAGCTTGACAAGTGTGCACTGTTTGTTGTATGTGGTTGTTTTGGGTTTTCATTTTTATAAGCCATCCAGAGACTTTAGTATTAAAAGGTAAATAAAAATTTTAAATAAGTGTGAGTTATACGAAAATCATGTATACCCTAGAAGAGACCATGAGCTATGGAAGGATTGTTTAACCCACACTCCCCCAGTTCACATGACATGACGATACCCGAGTAAGCAAAGTGAGACTTTTGTGTGCCTCAACTCATTGTGGATTAAATAACCCATGGTGAGGTGTGCCATTGTGTGTGAATACTGTTGTGCCAGAGGTTTTTTCTTTTCTTGTTCTGCTCCAGGATGACCTTCCCTTACTAAGAACGAATGCTCACAATGCTGAATCTATACCATAAAATTTTATTTATTTTTCCATTTATATCCTGCCTTTTTCCTACAAAGGGCTCAAGGCTGCTTACATTTCCTCCTCCATCTTATCCCCACAACAACAACCCTGGGAGGTAGGTTGGACTAAGAGTCTGTGACTGGCCCAAAGTCACCCAGTTGGCTCCATGGCTGAGCGGGGGACTAGAACCCAGATATCTGAGTCCCAGTCCCATGCTCTTAACCACTACACCACACTGGCTCTTGATGCACAACCCAATGCAAAAAAGATACATTTCATGTTGTGCCAGTCTGTCTCTCTCTCTCAAAAGTCAGGATTGTTATGAAGATAAAATGGGAGAACCCTCATGAATGCTATCATGAGGTTCTTAAAGAAGCATAAAATTAAGATGTGGGAACAAATACATACCCTGAAAGAGGAGCTTGCTAACAAAAATGAAACTCAAATCTGTCATTCTCCCAAGCTTGGAAAGCAGGCAATCTTAAGCTCAATTGCTAGTGTGGAATCGCTCTTAAACCACAGATTCAGAAGTAAGGGTTGGGGCATATGTGGGAAGTGCCAGTCTGGACAGACTGCAAAGTGCTCCTTGAGCAAGTTCTGTAATAGGCCTTCTGTGCTAGCTAATGTTTTTCCTTCCAAACACCAGGATACATCAGCCCTGGATTAACCAATACATAGCACCTGAACAGCCCACAAAATCCCTGCTTCTTCCTTATTTAAATTTTCTATGATACACATGTTTTATTTTCTCAGAGCTTTAGCTATATACCCAAGGGGCTTAGCTATTGTTCATTGTCAATTCAACAGGATTTTCTGCATACCATGATAGAAAAGTGTAGCTGTTTGATTATGGTTGACTATTCTAGAAAGAAAATAGCCCAGAATCTGTGCCTCCCCTGACCATAAGAGTTGAGCTCTAGACCCAGGGCTCATTTAATCCAGCCAGTTGTGCCTAAAAAGCCCTTTAAACAGAGTTTGACTTTAACTGTAACCCCAAGTGGTTCCCACCAGCAGCTAGAATTCTGCTCTACACTGGCTCCCAACCTGGAAATTCCATTTAATTACTCTAGTTAATAGCCACTGATAGATGTCATCCATGAATTTTTGTAGACCCTCTATAAAGCTATCTAAGTCAATTGCCCTTCTCCTATCTTGAGAGAGTAAATTTGTAAATTTTCAGCATTCATTGTATGAAGAAGTAGTTTCAAGGGATCTCACCTGCCCAAGAAAGGACATCAGTGAATAAAGCACTTGATAGTTTTCCTCTGGAAGTGTCTGAAGGGTTTTACGAACAATATCTACACGTTTTTCTTCCTCCGCACCTGAAAGGAAAATGAGTAACACATCTGCACCAGCAAGCAGGATTCTAGCTTATATGTGCAGAAATGGCTTGCATAGTGCATGCAATCTGCAAACACCAGGAGCTCCATTATATTGCCTTGGATTATGGCCATTTGTGAGAAAGTAACATAAGTCTGGGTAGGAGAGAGGTAGAGAAGTTTATTACTATGGGATCAAGACTTTCTTGGTAGCCACTCACTGTAGAAATTGACAACATCACTGTAGAGACCAAAGGTGAGAAGAGGCTCAGGAAGTTCCCGCAAGAAGGTCTTCAGTATCACAGCTGGGAGGTGCACATCCTCATATTGAAGGAAGTCCACAGGCAGCCCTGGGAAAGACAGAATAGACTGGTTCAGAGCCCCTAACAGCAGAACACAAAATGCCTGAGAAAGGGCTGAACTTCCTTCCACCAGACAGAGTAAGACATTAATCCAAAGACTGAAAACATTACAGGAGCGGATAACACACACACACAAAATCAGACAAGGGTATCAGTGGCACTGAATCCTCCTTTGGACCAGCAATGATTATGATCCTTTGGGAAACCACCCAAGCAATAGTAGGAAATGGCAGGGAGGTGGAAACACACACTTCAGAGAATGAAATACGTAATATCAAGGTGAAGTACAACTGCCATAAGCAAGCTAAGCCTACTCAGAGGTACAAATCTAGACCAGAAGAGGTTTATGTCAAAGGGAATCAACTAGCTGAAGTTCCAAACAAAGATCTATTAAAAGATAAAACATTCTCTGATATGACAGAAGTATCCTGTGTCAAGCACAGATTTAAACCTAGACAGAAAGAAAAGAAATAGAGGGAAGAGGGAGAGGAGCAGAAATCTGGAAGACAAAAGCAGGAACATACCCATATTGTATTTCTGCTGAACCTCTCTAACTGTCTGTGTGTTTGCTGATCGTCGGAAAATCCCTTGGGTAGTAAGGGCTAAGAACAAAGAAAAAAGAGCAAATCTATTAATGAAGATATGAGTAGCCAAAACATTCAGTAACCCAGAGAACAGTGAGTGTTTCCAGACAACTAAAGCACAGTGAAGCAAGAGAATTGCAATTTCTCCCACTGTTCCATGAAGTGTTCCGGGAGTGATTTAATGGAACAAGCATTGCATTTCGAGCATATGGGAAGCAGAATGTCTACAGTGATTAAGCCCCATGTTGCTCAATTTTGCTTTGGGTTTCTGAAGACCTAATTCCAATTTGAAGAAAAATACTAAAATGTGAAATGGGGAAGCAAATCACCTTCAGTAGGGTGCTGAAAAGATATCTGAAAAGGTCTGAACTCATGCATAACAGAAGGGTGTGGGGAGCAGGGGGCTAGAGGTGGCACAAGACAAGTAAAAAATGACAGTTTTCAGAGCTCACTCACCATGCTCCTGTAGAAACGCAATGGTCTCTCTGACCACCAGTGGTACAGGATTCTGGTCTGTACTCTTCTCCCTTAAGCTAACAAGAAAGGAAAAGCTTACATCCTTCATGTTCTCAGATAGCCTGAATCAAGGGTGTTCAATCTCAGTCTGCCAGGGGTCCCAATGCAGCCCTCTAGGGTTTTGTAGAAAGCTACTCCACTTCCCCTTTCCCCAAACCACCAACTGTTTGGTTGTTTCCCTGTGTTTGTGTGGTCCCCCTGCCCCCGTCCTTTCCAAAACAGCAAATCACATCTCCTAAGATTTAGTTAACTGGCAGTAAGTATGAAAGCTACAATGTGCTGGTATTCTGCTCCACTCCTTTCATCTACACTCACACCCATCACCAGAATGAATTTCTCAAGAGGTTCTCTGAAGGGAAATTTGCCCCTCAGGCTGAAAAAGGTTCTGCACCTGTGGCCTATAGTTGCATAGAACAAGACCTCAGACAATGGGCAGCAGGACTCTGAAGGTCACATGAGAGCTCTAACATCTGGGAAAAGAAAAGCAGACTTTGGACCTGCTCTCAATCCCAACATCTCTCTGGGCCTGATCCTGGCAGCTCAAACAGACAGAATCCAGAGATAGAGTATAAGGTTCACCAACCAAGATAGAGAGAGAGGACTACTCACTGTTGGAGAGAAACTCCAAACTGCTGGTTTGGCAGTGGTGGGCGGGGTGGTGTTACCTTCTGAGGCGCCTGGGAAGGCTTCTGCAGTGATCTCAGATATTCATCATACCTACATGAAGAAAGAGACATGTATGTATGGAGTTAACCTATCCTATACCAGAAACATTTAGCAGGTGTCCATTGTCCTCTTATCTTTTGAAAACAAGCCTCAGAGGTCCTGGCAAGCCCCGACACCAATTCTCTAAACAATTACAGCTCAGCACCTGCTACATGCTAAACGACATCTGTGGAGGGGCGGACCATCAAGGCAAGAGGTTCAGCCTTTGAAAAGAGAACAAAGAGTACGCAAACCGAGAGCACAATCACTGAGCTGACTCTTACTGAGGATGCACTTTGAGCAGGCATGGCTGGCTTGTTGAGCGCTAGAGAGAGGACCACAAATAGCCAGGGCTGCGCTAGCAGGAGTGGAGAGAGCCCTGACTGAAGGACTTAACAGAGTTGGCTCCCAAGCAACAGCTAAATCAGCAACAAGGTGTAAAGAAAGAGGTCTCTGGGAAACACTATCCAGCGCAAAGGTGGTAGGAAACAAGAGCAAAACATCAACCAAAAAGAGCTTCAACTTTTCATAGGAGCTACTTGGAAGTTCAAAGCATTATAAAAAATGTCATTCTACTACCTCCACCACATACATCTCTTCTCATCCACCTTCCTTTGGGGCAGTCCCCTTCAAGGAAGCTAAGAGTAAGCAAGCAGCAGGCTCTCACTTTAGCACCTGGCTTGGGATTCCCAGCTGCTCCAGCTTCACATGCTCCTCCAAGTCACTCAGGTAGTTTGCATAGAAAATCTTCCGGCCGAACTTAAAGCTGCAAGACAGATGGTCAAACAGTGCATAAGAAATCAGGCTGGAGTTGGGACAGTAGTAACAGATTTGAGAAAGGCTAGTAGTCATAGAAAGAAAGGACCAAAATGATGCTGAAAACTCTAAAGAGGCAGTTGGGCAGCAGCTGAAAAGTAAAACTTCCCTCTACAGAGTTAACATATACACATTACTGGAATATCCCATCCTTAGGCTAGGCAATGGGCTGCAAGCAGCTCCTTTCCATAAAGATAGAGCTGCAGTTTGAGGATTTTGCTAACATCACACAGCACTTTCCGTTCTTCATTGTTTCCCCTTCACTTCCCGCCAGAGGCCAGGAAATCTCTTTAGCAAGCCTAGGCTACCAGCCAAAAAAGGGACAAACAATGCAAATACAAGCTCAGCATAAGCAGGAAATTTGCAGTTCCTACAAGGCAGGGACTAATACTTGGTATACAGTATGTCAAAACACAACATTCATCAAGCTGAATTCTACAAGTTGGCCATGAGAAAAATACCTGACCTGCTGGTGTGCAGGACAAATTCTGCACTGTCTGGTAGAGAGGTCAGTAATATGCAAGGATACGGCATCTTCCTTTCTCTGCTTCTGAGGACTACACAATACAAACCAGTGTACATATAGAAAGTTTAAATAAGAATTAAAAATGGAGGAAAGCTTGTGAAGCCTCGGGGCGGCTTATTTTATATTGTATTTTTGTGTTATAATTTAATGTTTATATTTATTGTAATTTACATTATAATTACTTTTAATTTATTGTTGTAAGCCGCCCTGAGGCTTCTGCGAATGGGGCGGCATAAAAATGTTTTAATTAATAAATAAATAAAATAAATTTTGACAGAAAATATGGGACAGCATGAACAACCGCGATCTAAAAAATGCACAAGAGTATACAAAACCAGACATGTATACGTACCGTTGCAATGGCCATTTCCTAACATACTGAGTTCTCACCTTAGAGACAATGAGTGGATTCACACAACATGCAAACTTACCTTGGCAATAAGCTATGGCTGGCTGATTTCACAACAACCCATGGTGCACTTGACAGCTGCACTTGGGCTCACTGCAGCTTGTTTGTACCCTCCCTCTCATTTGTTCCTGGGTTGTTTGTTGCCCTAACAGTCCTCCTGGTTCACATTAGATTTCACGCTGTTCGACAGGCTTGCCTCCTGAGGAATGCTGCCCTCCCTCCATCACAACACATCCCACCACAGAGCAAAGCACCACCACAGCTTCCTACCTGATTAAGGGCTTGAAGAGAATCAAAAGTGTCTTGATGAACATGGTCGGGTGCACAATGTATAATGCTTTGATGTTCTTCTTATATCTAAAGAAAAAAAAGACAACAGGGAACTTGGCTTGTTGTAAGAAAGATGAGAAGCCAATTCAACCTCTCACCCCAAAACATTACTATGATACTATGTCATCCTTTACTCACCTACTGTTATACCTTTTTATGCGTTTGAGTCCTTACCCAAAGCATACTGACCTCTCCACAATCCAAAAGCAGAGCCACTTACTTGCGGTCAAATTCCCGGTAGGCATCCCGCAGCCAACTCAGGGATGGCTTGTTCTCGCTGGTCAGGCCATGGTGCAGATAGACCAAGGTATAGTCACTCTCCACATATTGGTCCAATGTATGCTTCAAATAGCTGAGGAGAGAGGATCACAGCTTAGGAGCCAGCCTGAAATATTTGGGGTTTTTGCCTCATGAAGTCAGCCATAATGAAAATTTAGCTACTACAGGCATAGGAGACATTGGATACGGACCCTGTCTGGAGGTGGGATACAAATTATACAGCCAGTAAAAAATCATTGCCATTGTTGATACAGAATATCAGGGAGAAATCATAGAACTAATTTTCACCACACCAGGTGGCTTCCCATAGCAGCACTCACCTCAGCAGTTTCACATGATCAAGCTGATGGCTGGGAGGCATCCGGCAGGCACTGAACAGAATTACTTTCCGACCATACTTGTCATCACCTGAAGGCAAAAATGCCACATATCACAGCAGGTTGGAATACAAGACAAGGAATCTCCACAATGTGAGCAATGCAGCAAGCTTTGTGGAACATTTAATGATTCTGAAGTCATGCCAAGTTCAAAGGACCTGACTCACAAAAATCAACATTAACACATGGAGAATCCATGGCTACATTTTAGAGAAGGCTATGATTTGAGAGGATCCAAGTGTCCTGAGGAGAAGAGGAGGAAGAGACACGGAATTTTTCTTTAAAATATGATGTGAGACCATGGTACCCATGTGTCATGAGAAGACAATTTGACTTGGTTCTCTTAATTCAAATACTGCCTAAAATACACCCAGAGAAGGAGAGTTCCTACAGTGTTATTGTGGAGAGGACTGTTGAGTTTTCCAATTTTAAAGATCAAAAAAGTCATTATTCATGTGGAGAACACTGCTCTCGTCCATAGATTTTCCCTGGTTTATCCCACTGCACCTGTTGTCCCTGTATACTGCAGGTGAGGCTGGAGAACAGAAAATACATTGGGAAAGCAAAGCCAACAAAATTAAGAACTACACAATGATGAACTTGCTTCAAGAATTATGAACTGAAAAGTATATCAGTTATGGCAAGTCACTACAACATGTTCTTGGTAAAAAAAATCTTTAATTTCTTTCCCAGGCCAACATCAGCCAGATGACTTAACAAGCTCTCCTACTACCATGAAAGCCCAACAGATGCCTGACCTTGGTTTCCTCTTAGTTATTTGATGACACTGGAATTAACACTAATATGAAATGTAGCACATAAGCAGAAATCTTTGCTGCAGCATAACAGCAATAACACTGACAAGTAGAAGGTCCTAGAACCAGGTTTTGCCACCCAGTCAACTTATGAGAAGATGAGCCATACACTTAAGTAAATACAACTGCAGAAGGAAAACAGGCCACAACTGCTCTCCAATGAATCTTTGATTGTCACTGGAACTAATCACCAAGTAGCTCAGTGTGGCATGGTTCCTGTTAGAATCCATCTCCCTACTCATGCAAACCTAAACATATGAGAGGGGAACCCTGTACACTCTCCCATGTGTACAAAGATGTGCATTTCTGCACAGTGCAAAGACCAAACTTCCACTTTAAGGTGCTGCAAGACTCCTTGATGTTTTGATCATCATTATAAGGCTACACACAGAGGTTTAAGGAAGAGAGTTTTCCCAGCACAAAGTCAGAGTTCATTAATGATGGAGGCTACCTAATTCAACTTAGTTTAGTTTTAGTCCCTCCCTTTGCTGTTACCCTTTGCTCAAAGAGAGTTTAGTCTCTTTCTTATATAAGCAAAGGATTTGAGGATTCTGTCATCATCTACACTCAAAAGAGACAAGGAACACATAAAGCCTGTCCAGTAAGATACATTTTACTGGATGCCAAATGAAGCTTATCCATGGCTAATGAAAGCAAATCTAAAGCAGAATGTAACTGACATCAAGTGCGGCAAAGTTTTCAGAGAGTAAGACAATGACTAGGGAGATGCAGGTTCAAACCCCTATATAGGAATGAAGCTCCCTGAGTAACCATGGACTAGTCACACACTATCACTGGAGCCTAACTCACAGGTATGTTGTGACTGTGAGAATATAAGAGTAGGTGAGATAGCAGCAGCTCTGATGAAATGAGGATATAGATCTATATATCTGCCGCCGGACCTGAGGCGCACCGCCGAGCTGGGGGCCAGCTGATGCCGCTCCCGCGGCCACCGCTGGGCCACCCCAGGGACAGAGGACGCCAGGGCCACGCCAGGGCCGCTGTCGATGGTGTGGAGGAGGGCGCCACCATCTCGCCACCAGGCGGGTTTCCGCGCCCCTCTCTGCTCCCGCCCCCGCTGGCGTCAGTGAGAGCAACGCCGGATTGGGGCAGGGCACGCGGGCGGGCGGGCACTGGCTTAACCTGCTGGACGCAGCCTGAGGCCGGTGGCCTCTGGCCAGCGGCCGAAGGGCGACGGCCAAAGGGCATTCGCTGCCGTTTGTGGCCATGCGGGGCTGGGCTGGCGGGGGGCTAGGTCAGTGGGTGGAATTTTGTTATCGGGGGGGGGCAGATGGGGTGTTTTTTACTGTTTTAAAGTTTTATTGTATTTTAATTTGTTTTAATGGAGTTGTCCCTGGCCATGTCGACAGCTGAGTTTCCTGGGGAGCGCGTGGGTGCCGCCATTGGGGTGGTCACGGGCAATGGAAGTTACAGTGGTGGGGGCCTAACGTGTCCGTGTAGAAGAAGGAGGGACAGATGGCTGACACCTGTCCCTCCTTCTGGTTCTGCCCCCAGCCAGAGGGTTCCAGGTAGTCTTGTCAACCGCCCCTCGGGCCTGACAGTGCTGCTGCTTAATGCCAGGTCAGTCCACAATAAATCTTCCCTCATCCATGACTTGATTGTGGATGAGGGGGCCGACCTGGCTTGCATAACGGAGACCTGGGTAGGAGAGCGGGGGGGATGTCGCCCTCTCTCAAATGTGCCCACCTGGGTATCTGGTTCAGTACCGTCCACGCCTGAAGGGGAGGGGAAGGGAGGGGGGGTCGCTTTGGTTTACTCAGCCTCCATCTCCCTCATGGGACTTCCAGGCCCTTTGAGGCCAGGGCTGGAGTGCCTCTACTTGGTGATGGGCAAGCGAGACAGATTGGGGATTCTGTTGGTGTACCATGCACCCTTCTGCCCAACAGTCTCCCTGCCTGAGCTGACGGAGATCGTCTCGGACCTGGTGTTGAGGACCCCCAGGATGGTGGTCCTGGGGGACTTCAATCTCCATGCCGAGACTGGTCTGACTTCATGGCCTCCACGACGGCCATGGGGCTGTCTCAACATGTCTCCGGCCCGACCCATGAACATGGACACACTCTGGTTTTCTCAATGGGGCAGGAAGAGGGTGGTCTGAGGGTGAGGAATTTATATCTGACACCCCTGTCATGGTCAGATCACTTCCTCGTGAGGTTTGTGCTCAAGAGCAGCCTCTCCCTCTGTAAGGGTGCTGATCTGATTGTGTGGGTCCGCCCCCAGAGCCGGATGGATCTGGACGGATTCCTGAAGGCCCTGGGGGAGTTTCCGGCTGACAAGACTGGTGCTCCTGTCGAGGCTCTGGTCGAACTATGGAATAGGGAAATGACTAAGGCTGTTGACACGATCGCTCCTAAGCGTCCTCTCTCACCAGGCAGAGCCCACTCTTCCCCTTGGTATACATCTGAATTGCGGGCGATGAAGCAGGCTGGGAGATGGCTAGAGCGTAGGTGGACGAGATCACGGGATGAATCTGACCGAACACACTTAAGAGCCCATTATTAGGCCTATGCTGTGGCGGTGAGGGCGGCGAAAAAGAAATTCTTCTCCGTTTCCACTGCCTCCTCAAAATGCCGTCCAACAGAGGTTTTTCGAGAGGTACAAGGCCTGGTTCACCCTGGCCCTAAGAAAGATCTGGTTCCACCCTCGAAGGCCCGCTGTGATGACTTCGCCAAACATTTCAGGGAGAAAATCACTCAGATTCGTCACGAGCTAGACTCTACTAGTGATTCGGAGGCTTCTGGGGAGATACCAATGTCACCATCTGGTCCAAAATAAATGGATGAATTTCAGTTATTGCGGCCTGATGATGTGGACAAGGTGCTTGGACGAGTACGTCCCATCACTTGCCTATTGGACCCTTGTCCATCTTGGTTAATAAACAACACCAAGCACAGGACTGGGATCTGGATCTTGGAAGTGCTTAACGCTTCTCTGAGGGAGGGTCGGGTACCTGCCCCTTTAAAGGAGGCGGTAGTCCGACCGGTCCTGAAGAAAGCGTCACTGGATCCAGAGATGGCCACTAATTATAGACCAGTGGCCAACATCCTGTTTCTGGGCAAGATGTTGGAGCGGGTGGTGGCGGGACAACTCCAAGCACTCTTGGATGAAACTGATTATCTGGACCCATTTCAGTCTGGCTTCAGACCCAGGTACGGTACTGAATCTGCCTTGGTCGCCCTGTACGATGACCTGTGCAGGGAGAAGTACAGGGGGAGTGTGTCCCTGTTGGTTCTTCTGGACCTCTCAGTGGCTTTCGATACCATCGACCATGGTATCCTTCTGGATAGGCTAGCGGGATTGGGGGTCGGAGGTACTGCTTTGCAGTGGTTCCACTCCTATCTCAATGGCCGATTCCAGAAGGTGGTGCTGGGGGACTATGGCTCTGCACCATGGCAGCTATGCCATGGAGTACCGCAGGGATCCATTTTGTCCCCTTTGCTGTTTAACGTCTACATGAAACCGCTGGGAGAGGTCATCAGGAGGTGTGGGCTGCAGAATCACCAGTACGCTGATGATACCCAGCTCTACCTCTCGTTTTCCACCAATCCAGGTGAGGCAGTGGCTGTGCTGAACTGGTGCCTGGCTGAGGTAATGGGCTGGATGAGGGCCAATAAACTGAAGCTCAATCCAGACAAGACGGGGGTCCTGTTGGTTGGCAGATCAGGCTTCGGGGAGGGTGAATTGAACCTAGTCCTGAATGGGGTTGCACTCCCTCTTAGGGACAAGGTCCGCAGCTTGGGAGTGCTCCTCGACCCAAAGCTTTCACTGGAAGCTCAGGTGACAGCCGTGGCGAGGAGAGCTTTCTTTCAGCTTCAGCTGATCCATCAGCTGCGCCCCTACCTGGAGTACGACTGCCTGGTGACAGTGACACACGAGATGTTGACTTCCCGACTTGACTTCTGTAACGCGCTCTACGTGGGGCTACCGTTGAAGACGGTCCGGATACTTCAATTGGTTTAAAATAGAGCTGCCAGGCTGCTGACGGGGACTGGCCGTTAAGTTCACATGACTCCAGTCCTCCATCAGCTTCACTGGCTTCCCATTGAAGTCCGGGCCCAATTCAAGGTGTTGGTGATGACCTATAAAGCTCTTAACAGCTTGGGTCCTGGTTACCTGAAGGAGCGCTTACGTCCATATATGCCCACCCACCCGCTCCTCGAGATCTGTGGCCCTTCTCCAGGAACCCTCCGTGAAG